GTCTTGTGGCGCGTGCCCGCAAACCCGCACACGTTCGTCAGCTTATGAAGCAAGGGGCTTTAGTTGCGATTCAAGGGTCTCATGGCACGCGAGCTGCGGTGGGTGATTTGTTTGTATCACGTGCACAAGCCGTTTGTCGCTTATTCCTCCTTTGCTGACGACCACCAGCACACCGGTGGCGCGATCACCTTCGTGCCCGACTTCCGTCTCTCTCACCCTCGCTCCCCGCCTGAGGTATCCTCGCAGATTTTGGTCCCTGGGAGGGCCCTGCGTGTGGCCATACGGTGCAGGTCTGGCGTCTCGATCATCCACCATAACATTCACAATCACGACATGTGCGAACTCCCGAAAGCACATTGAAGACATGTTGAAGACATGCTTTTTGGAGGCCTCCAGGCGCCCCTTCGAGTCCATGGTCTTTCTGGTGGGTGACTCCAATGTTCCTGCGGGTCCTCCTGGCTCTCTTGCTCCTGACCCTGCTCGGCGCGGCCAAGTAGCACAGGTTTCTATTCCTAGGGATTCTGCGTGGAACAAAATTTTCAGGCGGTTTCCGGAAGTGGGGGTGGAAGGAGAGACGCATTACAACAAAGCTAACAACACTCTAAGTTCCACAGACAGAGTCCTTGCGTCTGCGCCTGGGCGGGCTCTCACCCAGCTCCGCGCCGCTGCGCTCGTGCACGGCGCGTCCGACATCTTAAACCAGAGGCGCCTCTCCGACCGTGCCGCAGTCTCGGCCTCGTTCAAGTTGAAGGGCCCCGTGGACCCAGAGAAGCAGAACAATCCCGAGGGTCATTTTTCAGCAACCAAAGCATGCGAAGTTTCTCCAGGGAGCCTTGACAGTTGCTGATGCGTCTGGACTTTCGCCGCCGCTTCTGCTCGATTTTCACGAGAAGATGATGAGGGCTGCAGCGCGACGCGCTCGAGACTGCGTTATCAATCATCGCCCTCATTACTTCTGGCCGTTCTTCTTGTCCCCAAATATGTTTCCAGGGCGCTCTGGCGCCAGGATATGAAACCCGCTCTCCGCCTTCTCATGACGCGCCGCCTGGCCAGAACCCCACATGGAAGTGGATGTGCTGCAAGCCGCTGTTTGCCTGGAGGGTCCAATGGCTTTCTTCCAGGCAACCAGCGATGCCCAGATGGCTGCTCACCGTACTCTCGCAGCTGTTCGTCGCGAGGACGATCCTGCCGCGCCTCCTGCTGCCCGCGCCCGCGCGCGTCGTAGACTGCGCGGCCTACAAAGAAGAGCAAAAGTCTGGAACCCCTTTGACAGGCGCATGGTACTCCAAGGAGCAAAACACAATGACTGCATCCTCGAAGACCCGAAGCTGACACTTCGCGCCTTGAGAGATGGTTGGGCCCCGATTTTTGCCGAGACACCCATCGACGTGAACGCCGCGAACACGTGCCTGGACCAACTTGCCCCGTCGGCGAACCTCGACGACATCCCCTCCCCGACGGACCTGGATGCACATAGATGTCTGAAGAGAGCCAAACACAGGGAACCTGGCCTGGATGGGCTACCATACTCAGCGTGGGACGCGCGTCCTACAGGCAGCGACGTCCTCATTCGCTCGATCTGGCGGTGCCTAGAGGGCCACCGCATGCTGCCAGACTTCGGGATAGTTCGATGAGTTTTGGCGCCTGAAGGCGACGCTCCAGAGGATGACGCCCAAATCAACAGAGACCCGCTCCAAACCAGACCCCTCAGCCTCAAAAGCAGCGGCTGCAAAGCGATGACCAGCGCGTGCCCCGGGGAGTTATCCAAGGCGCCCCCGTCGCCCATCGACCCGTCGCAGAGAGGATTCGCCACATCGAGAAATCATCGCCCCGATGTTCTTGAGCTCGACGCCGAGGCCCGCGTCGCATCCACGCCTGAGTCAGCCCCTCTCCTCCTCCCCGCCCCCCTCAGCTATGATTTTGGCCGCGCCTTCCCTTTCTGTTGCTCGTCAGTGGATTGTCCTTGTCCTCTCTCGTCTCAACCTCCTGCCCCCCTCCCCGCCTGCTTTTCTTTCTGCTACTCCAACATCCAGTGCGTTGGCCAGGCCCAGGACGAGATTGCCCACCTCTTCTTTATCCAGTCGGGCATCGCGCAAGGATGCCCAGCCCCAGGCGCATTGCGCGCGATTGCTTCGCAACCCTTTCCGGCGTTTCTCAGACAGCGACCCGAGGAGCGGCAGCTCGGGCTAGCCCGAGCATGCGCAGATGACCTCGGGGCTGCGATCCACCCATTATCTGCGCTTCCTGTTCTTTTTGAGATGTTTCAGGCATCGGAGCAATCTGCTGCGCTGCTCCTCAAGCCTGCCAAGTGCTTTCTGGCGCCGCCCGCTGGACAGCACAGCGACGAACTTGCCGAACGATACAGATCATGGCTCCGCCAGAATGTGCCAGCTTGGTCAGCATTCCAGGTGGCGGCGACCCTCCTGCACGTAGGTCTCCGCCTGGGCCCAGCAGTCAACAGCGACTCATGGGATGAACCTCTCGCGAAAAAAATATGTACGTAGAGCTATGCAGATCGGCTCGGCCTCTGCTCCCGCTGCGGTGAACGCAGCAATGTGCGCCGAGCGCGCTGTGCCGGTTCTCTCATGCGTTGCCCAGTTTCGTAAGCTGCCGATGTCGCCTGCCCTGGGGAGAAAAGAACATGCCCTACTAGCCCGAGTGTGCAGAGACCCTCACTGTGCTTTTCCGAGGAGCGAGATGTTCTGTCTGCGTGAGTGGGGAGGACCTCGCCTTCCCAACATCGAAGTGATGACATTGGCCTCACTCGTGAGAGCTGCCCTCGTTACCTTCAAAGGCTGGCGTCCATGAGTCGAAGAGCTCAGCGAAGCTGCGATCGAGCACCGACCCCTCGCCCTCGTCCTGCGCGATGGTCCCTCCCCTCCCTTTCTGGTGCGAATCCAGCTCAGTTGAGAACCTAGCAGAGGCTGCCTCCGGTCTCCCATCGGACAAGCGAGTGCGAAGAGCTGCGACCCAGGCCCTCCTGGACATCCAACCCTCTCTCCGCTCTGATGACGTTGCCTCCTCCTTCCCCTCGCCCCAAAATCCAACGAGAATTGGTGGCCTCGCTCAACCGCGCCCTTGCTCCCACGGATTTCGGCAGCTTGTTTTCTTCCCGACTTCTCTGCTGATTCCCTGGGCTCCGTAGATTCTCGGCATGGAGTGCTCGCAGGTGCAGTCGGCGCGCGCCAAGTTAGCTCCTGCCCATGCATCGGCATGCATCAAGACCTTCGCGGGGGCCTGGGCGATCGAGACTCGTTTCCAGGGACGTCGCGCCCGATGTTTCATGTGCGCCTCCCCCCACGCCCGTGAGTCCATCTCTCACTATCTTGTTTGCCCCATTGTCCTTAGCCTCTGCGCCCGTCTTCTCAAGCTCTCTCTGCCATCCTCGCCAGTTTCTCGTCTGGGCTTGCTTGACCAGCCTGTTACCGCATGCAGTCTTCACTTCCCCGTGGTTGCCCACATGTTGTACAACCACGCAGCCTCTTCATCTCGGGCTAGGCCAGGCATGCCTCTCAATGAGAGGCAAAAGCAGGAGATATTGCCCCAGGCGCGGCAGCGTTCCGACGTCTCGCGCGAGGTGGACCAGCTGCAGGACTCCTCTCATGCTACGGGCCAGGAGGAGGAGGAGGAGGAGGAGGAGGAGGAGGAGGAGGAGGAGGAGGAGGAGGAGTATCCTCGGAGGCGTGCGAGGACTGCGCGGGGAGTCTTGGGATGGAGGGTGGGAGGGATGGGGGAGGGACGGGGCGAGGGAGAAAGGGGGGAGGGAGGGGGGGGAGGAGGAGGAGCAGGAGGAGGAGGAGGCGGAGGAGGAGGAGGAGGAGTAGGAGGAGGAGGAGGAGGAGGAGGAGGAGGAGGAGGAGGAGGAGGAGGAGGGGAGGAGGAGGAGGAGGAGAGAGGGAGGACGAGACGACGAGGACGAGGAGGGGCGGGAGGAAAGGAGCAGAGCAGGATGGATAAGAGGAGAAGGAGGAGGAGGAGGAAGAGGAGGAGGAGGAGGAGGAGGAGGAGGAGGGAGGGCCAGGCGAGGCGGAGCAGGGGAGGGGCGAGGAGAAGGCACGGGAGGAAATTGGCGCCACCCTTAGGAGCAGCCATGCTGAGCTACAAGCTGGTTTGGTTTCATCCCCCTTGCTCATTTCCCGACTGCGTCCAACCCCATCCCTCTCTCCTCGCGCCCCTTCTCCCATCCCTCCTCTCGGGAGAAGGAGGGAAGGCGGAGCAAGAGGGGCAGTCTCATCCCTCCCCGCTCCCAGTTCCCTCCACATCCCTTCGATCCTTCCATCCCCTCGCGTCCTCCCTCCCCCCGCCCTCTCTCCTCGTCCCCCTTCCTCCTTCTTCTCGTTCTTCTCCGCTTCATCAGCATTACTATGTGTTTGGGATTTGTTCTCTCTCTCTCTCTCTCTCCCCCTCCCTATCCCTATCCCTATCCCTATCTTTATCCTTCTCTCTCTCTCTATCCCTCCCTCCCTCCCTCCTTCCCTCCCTCCCTCCCTCTCTGTCTCCCTTTCTCTTTGTTGTGTTCCCTCTTTTTTTTTCTCTCTCTCTCTCTCTCTACCTCCCTGCTTTTCCTCTTCCCTGCCTCATCTCTTTCTCCTCGTTGGTGACGGGGGGGCGCGCGCGCATCTGGGAGGGGCGCAGCGCGTCCGAGCCTCGGCGGTGGCCGCCGCGTCCGGGCCGGGATCCTGCCGAATCCGTTCGGCAGCCCTTTGAGCGGCTCGGCCGCGCGGGTGGCAGGCCTTCTGGGCACAGCGGAGGACCACAACCAGAACCGAGTGGCACTTTCTGGAGGGCCCCCTCGGGGAAAAGGCCGCCGACCTCGACATGAACGCTTTGGCTCTGGTTGTGGTCGGTTTGGTCGTCCTGGGCGCCCACACCGACCACAACCAGGAGTACGCTGGTTTATGTGAACTGACGATTGCTGGCATGCGCAAAACCTCCCCGAGGGCGTGTCCTCGAGGTGGCTGTGGTGGCTTGCTGTCCTCCCACGGCCAGCGTGAGCTTCGCGAGCACGCTCACGGAGCACGACGTCGTCGTCGAGATCGTCGGGCCTGGCCCTTGCGGCGGCGCCCTTCGCGCGTCGGGCCGAGGCGAGGGCGCGCAGCGCGGAGGAGGCGGTTCGGCGCATCGGCGGCTCGCAGAGCGCTCCCACAGAGAGCAGGCGCAGGTGAACGTGGTCCTGGCAGACAAAGTTCGGGAACAAGCAACGGCGTAAACATAATCTTTGGGAGCTCCGCGCGGATTTCTTGGATCGGCGCCGGGGCCGCCCTGGCCGCGCCTTCGGCACCGCCATTGGCGCGCTTCGCGCGCCAGGGAGGGGGGTCCAGCGCCGATCCAAGAACTCTGCGCGGACCTCCGAGAAATTATGTTTACTGTGCTTTTGTTCCTCTTGAAGTGGCCCCGTGAAGGGTGCGTCGGCCACGCCGTGCTGCTTGCGGATTCCGTCGCATGCGAGCGCTATACGACACCAGTCGCGTCGGCAAGGCACCGCTGCTGAGTCGGAGAATCCCGCGACACCCCGGGCGTCCGCGACCGCCCCACAGCGGGCCCAGCGAAAGCGTGCCCGTCGATCGAAGAAGAAAGAGTTGGGCGATGCAAAAAACGGGGTCGTTTGCGCAGGCATTGGCGCGCAAGCTGCCCGCGCAAGGTCGCGCGTAAGCGCAGTTGGTGCCGCCGCCGCGACACGCTAAGGAAAAGTTCTCGACCGTATGCCGTTTTGGGACCTGCTAGCGAGGGCAAGAAACGGGATTGCGAGGCCACGGGCTCAAGGCCGCAAAGCAAGAGAATCTGCACGCAGGCCTCAGCGAGCGCTCGGGCTGAGCGGGGGGCGGGCCTCCCTGGAGCAGCAGGCCGATCGACTATACGCAAGAGTGCCCCTTCGCTGAAGCTGGAGTGACCTCTGGTGCGGACTCATCGGGGTTCCCCCGATCGCTGAGCGCGATGCAATGGGGGATGCTTGCGCGCTTGGAGTTGGCCAGCCCCCTGGCGGCGCCACCGGCGCCGCCCCTGGTGCGCTCCGCGCGCCAGGGAGGGGGGCCCGGCGCGGATCCAAGAAATCCGCGCGGAGTTCCGAAAGTTTATGTTTATGCCGTTTCTTGTTCCTCTGTATTCCGACGGTTTGCGTGGAGCGCAGGTCTACCTTGGGAAAGCTCCCGATCGTCCTGGGCCAACCTCAGCAGGCAGAGAATCGGGCTCCCAGAGGGGATGGTTGGCACGGGTTGGTGCGCAATCTGGTGCCACGGGGGGGGGGGGGGGCGCTGCCTTCCCGGAAAAAGTCTCGGGGGGCGCCTTCTTCCCTCTTATCCTCCTTCTCCTCCTCCTCCTCCTCCTCCTCCTCCTCCTCTGCATCCTTGTCGTCCTCGCTCTCTATCTCGCGATAGTCCTCCTCCTCCTCCTCCTCCTCCTCCTCCTCCTCCTCCTCCCTCACGTGCTCGTCCTTCTAGAGCTGCTCCTCTGCTTCTCCCTGGCTGTCCTCCAGCTTGACCTCCCCCGAAAGACAAAAACACAACATTAGCATAAAATGTTGGAGCTCCGCGCGGGCTTCTTGACTCGGCGCATGGCGCCCCTCTGTTGCGGCGCCGCCGCCTCCCCCGCGCGCGATCCGCGCGGTAGCGAGGGGGTCCTGCGCCGGCCTCCGACATGTGATGCTCGTGCAGTCTGTTCTTCTCCTCCCTCCTCCTGCCAGGAAGCTGGATACACATGACGTGACCGGCATTGGCGAGAGCTGGGTAAACACGTGGCATGTCTTTCCAGCCTTCGGCCGTCGTGTGGCCAAGCACGGTTATCCTCCACATATGTATCCAGCAAGTGGCCTCCAGATGTGTCGCGTGTGAATCCACCCGAATGTGTTTCCAGCTTCCTGGTAGGCTTCCTAGATGGGTTCGGAGCAGGTGGGGTCGGAGGATCGCGCCGCATCGCCGATGCATCGGCGATTCGGCTCGATGTGGAGCCCAAGTTGCTCCACGCAGGCATCGCCGATGCACCTCGTCGTACATCATCGATGCGTCGGCGATACATCGGCGATGTGGCGCGATCCTCCGACCCCATCTGCTCGGACCCCATCTGGGAGGCCTCTACTCCTCCTCCTGGACTGGAGGTGTTTTTTTTGTTCTCCTCCTCCGTGGTCGGAACTGGAGGAGCCCCACGTGTTCAGACAAGGACCGCATGATTTGATCGGGTGAGTCGGCCGCTGGCTCTTGCTCGCCTCCCGTTTTGGTTTCTCATCTCTCGCGGCGCCGGGTGCGCCACCGCCCAGCCCCTCGTAGGGCCGTCCCGCGGGACGAGTCGGGGCCGTGTCCGTGTCCCCCGCCCCCTCCTGGTCCTCCTTCCGTGCGTCCTGCTCCGCCCGAGCCCGACCTGCCATCGCCGCCGGCCCCTCCCGCCCCCGCTCCTGTCCAGCCCCCGAGCCCGCCGGGGTGCCGCCTTCTTCACGGACAGGCTGGCAATGCGAGGATGGAGGAGCTGAAGGACCACCAGCGCCACGAAGCGACGGGTCCTGAGGACGGCCGAGGTTTTCGCCGTTTGGGCAATCCCTCGGGGGGGGGGGTCGTCCCGCGGGACGAATAGGCGCCGTGTCCGCGTCCCCCCTCCTGGTCCTCCCTCCTGGTCCTCCCCCCTGCTCGCCTTGCTCCTCCCGATGCCAACCTTGCACCATCGCCGCCGCCGCCGCTCCCGCCTCTGCTCCTGACGAGCCCCACCCGGGCCCGCCGGGAGGGGAGACCGCCTTCTTCATGGACAGGCCAGCAATCAGCTTGGCGATGGAGGACGAGCTGAAGGACCACCCACCGGCAACAAGTAAGAGTGGCCTCTCGCCAGAGTGGCCTTTGGTGCGGGCACTCCGGCGTCCCTGGATGGCTGAACGCGATGCGATAGCAGCGGTTCTCGCGCTCGGTTGTGCCCCCTCCCTCAGGAGGGGAAAAAACATACAGACACAATTAATCGTCGATCCCCAGGACAATATGAGAAAATATGGGAAGTGGGGGGGAAGACAAAAACCAAGAAAATATTGGAAAATAGGGGGATTCCTGTTATCTGTGTGTATTTATTTGTGTGTCCCAGGGCCCCTTCACTCCCCTGCGCCCCCCGATCGTCGCGCACCAAAGGTCCCTCTTGCCTTGGGTCACTCCTGCGTGCAGCCGAGCACAGATCGCCACGAAGCCAACGGTTCCTGAGAGAAACGGCTTCCGAGATGTTTCGCCGTTTTGGAGCTCGATTGGCCCTCGGGCCCCAGGGATGTCAAGAAACAATTCAGTCCAGGACCCGTATCCCTCCTGACCCGCTTGCTCCATGCCAATGACCACCTGGAGGGGATCCTCCTTCTCCTCCTCCTCCTCCTCCTCCTCCTCTTCCTCCTTGCTCCCTCCTCCTCAGCCCTCCGTCAGCATCCATCCCCTGCGCTTTTCTCCTTTGCCTCACACTGTCCCTCCTCCTCTCCACAGCTCCCGTAGGGTTCGTTTCTGAGCCCATTCGGCGACTGAGCCCGCTCGGCCTCCGAACGCGCCCACGATCGAGCCCATTCGGCGGAAATGAGCCCGTTCGGCTGCCCACTCGACGGCCGAACGGGCTCAGAGGCCGAATGGGCTCAGAGGGGAGCCCGTGGGGTCTGCGTAGGTGTCGGCGGCCCCACGGCGGTGACGGCATCGAAGGGCACCGACGGCGGCGGCACCGACGGCGGCAACGACCCCAGACCTTGATGCCATGATTGTTTCACAACGTAGACCCCCAGAGTCCTCGGCCCATTCCCCAGGACCAGTTTTTCATCCCGAGTCGTTTTCTGGTGATCCCGGGGCCCAGTGAGGGCCCCCCAGGGCCAAACATTACCAAACAATTCCCCTTGTTTTTTTCCGCTACGCGAGGGGGCTTTCATGGCGCCCCGACTATAGCCAAAAGGGTGTGCGACCGAACAGAATATGACCGAAACCGCATTTGAAATTATGATTGAAAACGTAGTGCGACCAACTTTGCGACCGAAATTGGGCATCGCATTGGCTTCGAACCAAACATTGCAGTCACACTCGGGCGCGGCTGGAAACTGTCGGGCGCCAAGTTCGGTTCCACTCGGGCAGATTTCGGGACATGGTTTCGGCCATTGCACCCCCCATGATAGAGACAAGGCTGGGTGACGCTTCGGTCGTCCAAAGCGGATGCCGAGCTGGCTCGATGGACATTGCGACGCAGTCAGATCTCTCGTTCCAAATTTGGTTGATCTTGCCCTCCACGCCGCCCTCTGCACCCCCTGCGCTCGCCCCAGACCTCCTCCCCTCTATTGCGAAGGCCTTACGGCCGGTGCCGCCGACCCTGAATGGCGACGACGACGACGACGACGACGAGCGCTCTTGGGGGCCTCGTGGGGGTAGTTTGTGGGCCTCTTGGGAAGCTCTTAGGGGCCGCTTGGAAGCCTCGTGGGGGCCTCTTGGGGCTTCCTGGGGGTCTCTTGGAGGGGGCCTGGGACGTCTTGGAGGCTTCTTGGACGGTCTTGGGGCTATCTTGGGCGTTTTCGGCCGATCTTTGGGCGACTCGGGGCCCTCTTGGGCCGTCTCGGGGGCCATCTTGGGCATTCGGACCTCATTTGGAGTGTTTTCGAGGTTTCTAGGCCGCCCGAGGAAAAACGAATCTGCCCCCCCACCCCCCCCAGGACCCCCCCCGGGACCCCCCCCGGGACCCCCCCCGGGACCCCCCCCCCCTGGGGAAGGGATCGAAGGGAAGGGGCTTCCCTTCGACTCGATTACGACACTGCTCGATTTTTCTCTCGCTCACGAGCTTGAGAAGGAAGCTGCAGGGAAAGGGGACGACGGAGGCGACGACCGACGGAGACGACGACTCGAACAGCCAAGCCCCTCGCACACGCCGACAGGGTCGGCGGATTTCAGTCTCGGAGAAGAAGAATAGTGCGACATAAGCACAGGCGTTCGCGGAGGTCGGCGCGGATTTCTCGGGTCGACGCTGGATGCAAGGGCGCGCCCACGAGGGCGCGAAGTTTCACATCCCCCCGACAGAGACGAGGCTAAGTGGAGTTTGTTTTCATCCTCTGGCGCGAAGCGGCTGTTACCCCAGCAACCCCCCCCCCTCAGGGTGACGGCAACGATCGTACTACCGGGGGGCGGTCCTGGACCCCCCCATACATATTGGTGCTCGCGCGCGTACGATGGCGATCGCAGTGCACCCCGCCCTGACGTGCCCCACCCCGCCCAAGCGTGACCGTTCCCCCCCGGGCCAACGACCGCCACCGGATAGAATACAAACAAAATCGCGAGGGTCTGGTTCGGCGGCGGCAGCGGCGGCGTCGGCGGCAGGAGGCGTTCGAGACCGAGGCTTTCTCCTCGGTGCCGTTCTTCCAGCTGCGCTCCGTGCGCGTGCCCAGTGTCTTTGCGGGCCGGCGGCGGCCGGCCGCTCGTCGCTGCTGTCGTCGTCGCCGTCGTCGCCGCGATCCTCGACGGTTCGAGGTCTTCGGACGTTCTCGTAGGAACTCGGCCTCGGGATGCCTTCCGGCGGCTGCGCCTCGCCGGGAGCGTTCCGGGTATGCCCAGAACGTCCCGAACGGAGGCCCGAGACCCGAGTTCTGATTCGGAAACCGTCGTCGTCGTCGCCATCGTCGTCGTCATCTCCGCGACCGTCGTCATCGTCGTCGCCGTCGTCGTCGTCGTCGTCGTCGTCGTCGTCGTCGTCGCCTTCGCCGTCGTCGTCGTCGTCGTCGTCGTCGCCGTCGTCGTCATCGTCGCCGTCGTCGACGTCGTCGTCGCCGTCGTCGTCGTCGCCGTCGTCGTCGTCGCCGTCGTCGTCGTCGTCGCCGTCGTCGTCTTCGCCGTCGTCGACGTCGTCGCCGTCGTCGTCGTCGCCGTCGCCGTCGTCGTCGTCGTCGTCGCCGTCGTCGTCGTCGATGTCGTCGTCGATCCCAGATCTTTCCTACAGGCGTTGCGTCCACGATTCGGGCCCCTGGGGCCCGTCCCCGAGCACCGGGACCGTCAAAAATGGATCTGGAGCGAAAAAGTGACCCTGTGGAAGGGGGTGGGACTTCCTGGGGCCGCGCATTGAAAGAATCAGATCGGAGATAGAGCCTCCAGTCGAAGAAGGAAGAATAGGTCTGGAGCGAAAAAGTGACCCTGGGGAAGGGGGTGGGACTTCCTGGGGCCGCGCATTGAAAGAATCAGATCGGAGATAGAGCCTCCAGTCGAAGAAGGAAGAATAGGTCTGGAGCGAAAAAGTGACCCTGGGGAAGGGGGTGGGACTTCCTGGGGCCGCGCATGGAAAGAATCAGATCGGAGATAGAGCCTCCAGTCGAAGAAGGAAGAATAGGTCTGGAGCGAAAAAGTGACCCTGTGGAAGGGGTTGGGACTTCCTGGGGCCGCGCATTGAAAGAATCAGATCGGAGATAGAGCCTCCAGTCGAAGAAGGAAGAATAGGTCTGGAGCGAAAAAGTGACCCTGGGGAAGGGGGTGGGACTTCCTGGGGCCGCGCATGGAAAGAATCAGATCGGAGATAGAGCCTCCAGTCGAAGAAGGAAGAATAGGTCTGGAGCGAAAAAGTGACCCTGGGGAAGGGGGTGGGACTTCCTGGGGCCGCGCATGGAAAGAATCAGATCGGGGATAGAGCCTCCAGTCGAAGAAGGCAGAACTGCATGAACATAATCAAAGTGTTCGGAGCTCCGCGCAGATTTCTTGCATCACGCTCGGGCCGCCCCGGCAGCGCCTCCGGCGCACCGCCCTGCGCGCTCCGCGCGCCAGGGAGGGGGGGTCCACCGCCGATCTAAGAGAGCCGCGCGGGCCTTCGAAACCGTGTGTGTTCACGCAGGTGTTTCCTCCTCTAGCTCGGAGTCGAGCCTCGAGGTTTCTGGAAGTCGCTGGGGGGGGCCTCGTCGCCACGGTTGGACGCAGCTCGAAGGGTTGGCCAGGATCTGCCCTCCCCGAGGAGGGCCCGGGCAGGGGGATCGGCTTTGGAGGGGTTTGGGCTCATCCAAGCGAGTTTCTTGTTGTTGTTTGGTTGGAGGCCTCTTGAGGGTTGTTGTCGTCATCGCGGTCGCCTTCGTTGTCGGCGTCGCCGCAGTGCTCGTAGTCACGGTCATCACTCGTCGTCGTCGTCGCCGTCGCCGTCGTGATCGTCGTCGTCGCCGCCGTCGTCGTCGTCGTCGTCGTCGTCGTTGTCGTCGTCGTCGTCACCGTCGTCGTCGTCGTCGTTGTCAACGACGTCAACGTCAACGTCGTCGTCGTCTTCATCGTCGCCGCAGCAGCTTTGGGCATCATCGCCGCCCTCATCTGCCTCGTCCTCGTCCTCCGTCCCTTTCTCTCTCGCTCTCTCTGTCTTTATTTCTCCCTCTTCTCCTCCCTCCTCCTCCCCCTGGTGAAGAAGGGAGGAGTTGAAGAGACAGCTACAAGGAGGGTCGAGTACGTTGGGTTGGTTTTCGGACGTTTCAGGAATTTCCAGGGCCCCCTTCTCCTTCTACTCCTCCCCCTCCTCTTCTCCTTCTCCTCCTCTTCTCTCCTCATATGTGGATTTATCCTCCTCCGACCTCTTCCTCCACCGCATTCCATACCTTCCTCTTTCTCTGCATGGTTCTTCCTTCCTCATCCGTCCTCGTTCCTTCCTCCTCCATCCACCTTTCTCCGATTGTTCTTCTTCTCCTCCTCCTTCCTTCCCCCTCCTAGTGCTTCGCTCTGCTCAGTGTCGCCGTAAAGATTGGGGCCCTCGGATTGAACATTTCAAGATGTCGGATGATTGGATTCGTCTTCCACCTCTTCTTTCTCTCCCTCGTGCTCTTTGTCTGGCTATCTCTTCCCTCATGTTGCATCCTCTTACGTCCCGTCCCTCCTTCTCATCCCCTCTTCCGCTTACCTTTCAGTGGTAAGCTAATTCATGGTAACTGCACTCTCGTCCCTTAACACACACACCTGCCCTCCCCGAGCACAACAGGTTCGTCTTGCGTCGTCGTGGTGGCAGCCCTAGCGCGAGCCGCGAGATTGAACGACGCGGTGTCAGAATACAACGCCGTGGTCGTCACGACACAAACTTGTTGTAGTCGAGGCGTAAGGAGAAGAAGAAGAGGAGGAGGAAGAAGACGAAGGGGAGGAGGAGGGGGAGGAGTTGGAGAAGAAGAAAAAGAAGAGGAGGAGGAAGCGGAGGAGGGGGAGGAGGAGGAGGTGGAGGGGGCGGGGAGATGGCTCATACTCACCCTGTCACACTTCATCTCCCCTCCCTGGGTAGCTTCTCGGAGAAGGAGAAGGTAGAAAGAGGAGGAGGAGGAGGAGGAGGAGGAGGCATGGGAGGAACAGGAGGAGGATTAGAAGGAGGAGGAAGAGAAGTACGAGAAGGAGGAGGTGGAGGATGATCAAGAGGAGAGAGGAGGAGGAGGAGGAGGAGGAGGAGGCGGAGGAGGAGGAGGAGGAGGAGGAGGAGGAGGAGGAGGTGGTTGAGGATGAGGAGGAGGATGAGGAGGAGGAGGATGTGGAGGAGAGGGAGGAGGCGGAGACGGGAGGCGCGGGCAGGATGAAGAGGATGATGATGATGATGATGATGATGATGATGATGATGATGATGATGATGATGATGATGATGATGATGATGATGATGATGATGATGATGATGATGATGATGATGCTGATGCTGATGCTGATGATGATGATGATGATGGTGCTGATGATGATGATGATGTGATGATGAACATGATGCTGCTGCTGATGATGATGCGATGCTGATGATGCTGCTGCTCATGATGATGATGATGATGCTGATGATCATGATGACGATGATGGTGATGATGATGATGCTGATGCTTGCTGATGATGCTGCTGATGATGCTGCTGATGATGATGATGATGATGATGATGATGATGATGATGATGATGATGATGATGATGATTGATGATGATGATGATGTGGTGGTGGTGGTGGTGGTGGTGGTGGTGGTGGTGGTGGTGAGGAGGAGGAGGAGGAGGAGGAGGAGGAGGAGGAGGATTGAAGGAGGAGGGGGAGGGGTGAGGCGGAGGCGGAGGAGGAGGAGGAGGAGGACGAGGACGAGGAGCAGGAGGAGGAGGGAGGAGGAGGAGGAGGAGGAGGAGGAGGAGGAGGAGGAGGGGGAGGAGGAGGAGGAGGAGGAGGAGGAGGAGGAGGAGGAGGAGGAGGAGGAGGAGGGTGAGGAGGAGGATAGGGAGGAGGATAGAGAGGAGGATAGAGAGGAGAAGGGGGGGCGGAGAAAGAGAAGGGAAAGGCGTAGGAGACGAGGAGGAGGAATGCAAGGATAAGGGGGAGAATGGCGGGGGCGGGAGAAGGCCCGGGCCGCCCACACCTTGTTCTGGTCGTGACGTTGGCGCTCGCAGCCCCCGCCTCCGTTGTCTGGTGGACCCGCCCGGGCGGCAGGTTTTGACCCGTGTCCCTAAGGGCTTAACGACTTTTCGCCAATCGATTTGTGGGAACCAAGACGGATGAATCGATGTAGGTGCAGATGAGCCGAGGTCAATCCAAGCAGATCCAGAGATCTCCAGGGAGATTTGGAGCAAGTCGTGGCCGCTCCAGCGCGAGTCGAGGGACGGCAGAAGTCGTTCAGCCCTGAACGACTGTGGTCTGAGGCGGTCGGCCAAAATTCTGAGAAGCCTTGGGGCTGTTGGTGCCGTCTGCTCGTCTGGGACGTCTCCGGGGGCCATCTTGGGGCCGTCTTGGGCCGTCGAGGGGTCCCCTGAGGCCATCTTGGGTCCCTCCGGAGGCCCATCTGGGCCAGCCAGGGCTTTCCTGGGGCCGTCTAGGAGCTCTCTTGGGCCGTCTTGGGGCCGTCCCGGAGGATTTTGTGGCCATCCCAGGGCCCTCTGACTGGGATTCGTTTCGCGACGCTTGGAGGTCCGGGCCTCCAGATGTCCCAGGAGTCCGAGGAGGGTGCTCGAGGGCCTCGACAGTCGAGTGCCCCCGAGGAGTGCGAGAGCCTGGGTCCTCGATCCTCCCCGTGCAGAGGAGTCCGACAGCCTGGGTCCTCGATGGTCGCAGCCTTGGCTATGAAAAAACCTGTCTTGTAGGAAACGGGTCCTGAGAATTTTTGGCTAATTCGGGCCCCCCTGGGCCCTTCGCGGGCCCATGGACTGTTTGGAAGCGGCTCAGGTCGAAGAGCTCGAGGGCGGCTAAGAGGGGGGTGACGACGGTGGGGGATCTCATGGCGGGAGTTTTATGGCCCCCTTTTCTTTTGTCGATGCTTCCCCTGGCCCCCCCCTCGTCGGCGCACACGCCTCCGGCCAGGATTTGCGGCCCCCCATCTTGGACGCCCCCATTCTTGGTCCTGGGTGGGGGGGAGGGCAGGCCCCGGTTTCCTTCAGGACCTGCCTGCTTCATGCCAGACCCTTCAAGGCTCACAGCCGTCACCACGGACCGCCCAGGTGTCCTTGCCCTCGGAGTTCGAGCAGGCTATCCAGGACACCGAGGTCAAGGTGCAGGACTTCCCTTCTTTTGGAGGAGGGGTAGGGGAGAGGAGAAGGAGGCGTGAGGAGGACGGACGAGAGAAGATGCTACTGCTGATCAGCCAGAGCATGTGCAATGCTGAAGGAAGAGACGAGAAGAGAGGAGAAGGCATAAGGAGGAGAGGAGGGGGGAACACAGGGGAGGAGACGGAGAAGGAGGAGGAGGAGGAGCAGGAGGAGGAGGAGCAGGAGGAGAAGGAGGAGGAGGAGAAGGAGGAGGAGGAGAGGGAGGAGGGGGACGCAGGCGGGCGCGCGAGCGGACGGGCGGGCGGGCGACGAGCGGGCGGGGGGGGGCGGGCGCGGGCGCCCGGGCGAGCGGGCAGGCGAGCGGGCGGGCGGGCGGGCGGGCGCGCGGGCGCGCGGGCGGGCGCGCGGGCGTGCGGGCGTGCGGGCGTGCGGGCGGAGCTAGGTGGTCGTCGTTGCCGTCGTCACATCATCGTCGTCGTCGTGGTCGTCGTTCTCGCTGTCGCCGTCGTCGTCGTCGGTGTCGTCGCCGAGACATTTTCCTTTTGTCTTGTGGGGTACAAATCTTATTGAATCGCTTCGCTCATTCCGCCGACCCGTATTGTGCCCTCGCTGGCGTTTGGGCTTTTGGGGGCCTTTTGGGATCCTCGTTGGGGGTTTCTTGGGGGCCTCTTGGGTTTCTGTTGGAGCCTCTTTGGGGTTTCTTGGAGCTCCTTTGGGAGCATCTTGGAGCTTCTGGGCGCCGCTTGGGGCCGAGGGCTCGATATGTCCGTTCCGGTTCCCACTTTGGGCCTCCTCTTTGGGCTGTCCTGGTGCCATCTTGGGCCGTGTCGGAGGCCTTTTGGGCCATCTTGGAGGTCTATTGGGCTGCCTTGGGGCGATATTGGAGGCTTCTTGGGCCGTCTTGGAGCGTCGGGGAGCTGAACAGGTGGGAACGCTAAAATCTTTCAAAACCAAAAAGAAATCGACCATCTTTCCTTCCTGGGGCTCTCTTGAGACGCTTCTTGGAGGCATCTTCGGGCGTCTTGCAGGCGTCTGCGGGCGTCTGGAGGCCATTTCGAGCGGTTTGGTCCGATCGGTTGGCGACTCGGGGCTTTCTTGGACCATCTTGGGGTCAGTTACCGGAGATCTTCGCACGCCCCTGGCCGTTGGGCCGCCGAATCTGGCCTCTCACCGAATCGGGTGTCGCGTCTGACCTTCATGTCTCGGAGGGGATAAGGAGGAGGTGGAGGAGAAGGATGAGGAGGAGGACTCAACTCCCTCCTGCTGCTCTCTCCTCCTCCTCGTGCTCCCTCCTCCCTCCTCATCCCCCTTCTCCTCGGCGATGGACCGCTCCATCGAGGAGTGGAGGAGGGGATCAGGAGGAGGAGAAGGAGGAGGAGGAGAAGGAGGAGGAGGAGTGCCTGAGGAGGGTAGACGGAGCGCTGTGCAGAAGTTTCCCAGAATTTCTTTGTGCTCGCTGCCCATATTGTAGCATCGCTGTCACTTGCTAGCGTGGTCGCGGGGGCATTTGGGGGGCCGCTTTGGAGCCGCTTGGGAGCTTCTTGGGGTCCTCGTGAGGGCCTTTGGGGGGCCTCCTGGTGCTTCTTAGGGGCCTCTTGGCGCCTCCTGGGGACTTCTTAGGGCCGAGGGCTCGAAATGTTGTTTCGTGTTCCCCCTCTGGGACTTCTCTTAGAGCGTTCTTGGGGCCCTCTTGGGCCGTCTTGGAGGCCCCTTGGGCCGTCTTGGAACCCTCTTGGGCCGTCTTGGGGCCCTGTCGGAGGCCTCTCGGGCCTCTTAAGGCGATCTTGGGGGCCTCTTGAGCCGCCTTGGGGCGTCGCGATGCCGAAAAGGTGGAAACGCCCAAATCTCCCCAAAACGTAAGGAAAAACAGGGAAGTTTGCCTCTTGGGGCCCTCTTGGGAGTGCTCTTGAAAGCCTCGTGGGACGTCTGGGGGCTATCTTGAGCGTCTTGAAGCGATCTTGTGGCATCTCGGACCTTTGGTGTACCATCTTGGGGGCCTCTTGGGCGCTCTTGGCTCTTCTTGAGCCTCTCTCTTGGCCCTTCTTGGGACTCTCGGGGACGTCTCGGGACCCTGTTGGTGCGCTCCTGGAGCGCTCTGGGGGCTTCTCCTGGGGCCTTGCCGGGGTACTTTTCGCCCGGGGACCCCCAGGGGCCGACCCGCGCGCGCGAACTAGAAATACTGTGAACCAGTTACCGGAGATCTTAGCACGCCGTTCGCCCGTTGGGCCGGCGAATTTGTTTCGCCCACCCACCCCAGTGTTGCCACGTGACGAGTAGAACTTAATTTCCCCCAGGCGTTACCAACTGCCGGGTGGAGCAACACACTATTTGGTTTCGCCTCCCTGCGTTGCCATCTGGCAGAAGTAAGTTTGTAGTTGCTCCGCTTCCTTGCGTTGCCACGCAGCGAGAAGAGTAGAATATTGTGTGTTCCGCCCCCCTGGTGTTGACACGCGACGTGTAGAGCAGGATACAGTTTGGTTCCGCGCCCATGTGTTGCCGCGTGACGAGTAGATAAGAACAGGACACAGCCATTTCCTAATGATGCCTAAGGCGTCCTGCGGATTTTCCAAAGAAGGCATGTTCAGGCATCCGAAGTGTTCTGGCGGATCGCCGGGCTCAAGCAAACTAGTCGGATGCAAAATGAAGCTATGGACCGGGACAGGGCTGGAATTTCCGGATGTTCGAAAAAATCCACGGATGCTACACTGTGGCGGCCCCTGCGTATTTAGCCATGTGATGGGTAGGCCAGAATACTACGTGTTTCCGCCCCCCTGCGTTGCCACGCGACGAGTAAAGTAGAATGGTCTGCTGTCCGCCCCCAGTGTGGCCACTTGGCGAGAATGATGGAACAGTATTGGGCTCGCCCCACGAAGCGTTAATGTGTAACTCGTGGAGTAGAGTAGTTGTTTCAGGCCGTCCTGTCTTGTTGGATCCTCTTTTTGAGGAGACGACACCCCGCGTCCTCCTTCCCGCTGCCCTCCCCCTCCTTCCTCCCATCCCCGCGTCTGTCCTTCACGCGTCCGTTTCGGCACACCCCTCCCACGCTTCGTGGCCCCATAGGAAGCTCTAGCCAAGGCCCCAGTGGCGACGTTCGCATGTGGGCGTCACACACGTTTCGGCACACCCCTCACACGCTTCGTGGTCCCATAGGGAGCTTCAACTAAGACCCTAGTGACAAAGTTCGCATGTATGTAATTTAGAATGCCGAGGCCTGTCTTCGACGAGAACAACTTGACGTAGCAATGCAATACAGGCGCTCGTCTTGGAAGAGCGCGCCATTTGGGGCCGGGACCCCCCTTCCACCTCCGCCACATCTTCCTCGCTGTCGCCTTCATCACGCTCCTCAATTTCGGTCTTGCTTGACAACGTTCGCATGTGGGAGTCTCGCCCGTTTCGACACACCCCTCAGACGCTTCATGGCCCGATGGGGAGCTCCACCTGAAGGCCCAAGTAGCGACGTTCGCATGTGGGCGTCACGCCTGCTTCGGCACACCCCTCACACGATTCGTGGCCCCACAGGGAGCTCTACCTAAGGCCACAGTGGCGACGTTCGCATGTGCGCTTCACGCCCTTTTTGGGCACCCCACTCACACGTTTCGTGGCCCCACAAGGAGCTACACCTAAGGCCCCAGTGGCGACGTTCGCATGTGTGCGTCGCGTCAGTTTTTGCACACCCCTACACCTGTTCGTGGCCCCACAGGGAGCTGCACCCAAGGCCTCAGTTGCAACGTTCGCATGTGGGCGTCACGCACGTTGCTGGGGAGTTCCAGAAACGGGAGGGGGGTTGTGGAGGAGGAGGGGCGGGGCTTCCAGTCGGGAGCCCAAAGGGGGCGGGATAGGCAACTTCCATGTGGAGCGAAAGCAGGGGGGGAGAGGGGGGGGCCTTCTGAACGAGGGCAGCCGAGCGTGGAGGGAAACACACCCAAGACGCTGCAATGAGGACCGCGTAGGGCTCAGGAGGGGCTCGGGTTTTCGGGCCGGTCCTTCGGTTTGTGTGGTGGAACATGTTCGTGGCCTGCCGTGATCAGGAACGCCCCCTCGTTCCTCACCATGCGTTCCTTATGGTAGCACGATGACTGCTGCTACGGGCAGGCAGGCAAGCGCAGCGAGAAGGTAGGCCCAAACTCGCGGGCCGACTGCGCGGGGCATAGTACATCGGTCGTGTCGGGCCAGCGGGACGTTGACATAACGTCGGGCGCCCACTAACCCGAGCCTATCCAGGGGTGCGTTCTGACCAGAAACGAACCATATCACATATGTGTCACAGGAGGCTGATGCTCGCAAACCGTCCTCGTGTTAGTGGCATGACGTCACAGATTTGCACTCGCTGCTCTTATTTCCTCTCTCCCTCTTCCTCCTGCAGCTCCTCGTTCCCTTTGGAGTTCCTCCGCCATGCAGGCTCAAGCTGTATGCGATGCTCGCCACTGTAGGGTAGAGCACAAGGAAGAGGAGGCGTAGGTAGAAGGTGCGAGAAGTGGGGTTGCAGCAGGCTTTCGCTCGAAACATCATCACGGTTTACCCGGAAACGAGGATCCCTCGGATGAGATTTGGTCATGTCGCGAAGGATCGAGACCCTGCGTGATACATCCTCAGAGCTTGTTCGGGAAACTAGGTTCTCTCTCGAGACATCTTCGCAATCTACTCGGGAATGATGTTTTCACCAGGCCGAGCGAAAGTTCAATCACAGAGTTCGAACCGCGAAGTTGAACCAGGAACTTGAATATTGACCTGTTGGTCCAGTAGGCGTTTCGATTATAAACTCAACGCCGAATTTTGCTTTATGGCATAATCCAATATATATTGTGCTGGCCTCCGGCCAGTGCCGCCGATACGGGTTGCTCCAGATAATGATGATGATGATGATGATGATGATGATGATGATGATGATGATGATGCTGATGATGATGATGATGATGATGATGATGATGATGGTGTTGATGATGATGATGATGATGTTGATGCTGATGCTGATGCTGATGCTGATGCTGATGCTGGTGATGGTGATGATGATGATGATGGTCATGCTGATGGTGATGGTGATTGTGATGATGATGTTGTTGTTGATGTTGATGATGATGATACTGATGATGATGATGATGATGATGATGATGGTGATGGTCATGGGGATGGGGATGATGATGATAGTAGTAATAATAGTAATGATGATGATGCTGATGATGATGATGATGATGGTGGTGGTGATGATGATGGTGATGATGATGATGATGATGATGATGATGATGATGATGATGATGATGATGATGATGATGATGTCGCTGATGATGCTGATGATGATGCTTATCATGGTAATGGCCATGGGGCCATCTTGGGCGTCTTGGACCGATCGTTCGGTGATTCGGGGCTTTCTCGGGCCGTCTTGAGGGCCTCTTGGGGCCCCGTTGGCCCGTCTTGGGCCGCTCTTGGGCTCGAACAAGTCATGCGGGAGCATTCTGGGGGCCCCAGAGGGCGCGCGGAGAGCCTCAAGAGATTTGACAGCTTGAGGTCCGGGCCCATTACGAACCCTCAGGCTTGAGGACTGAGGCTCAGGGGATTGAGCAAGGGACCTAGGGAAGCCTCTAGGTGATCGTTTTGGGGCCTCTTTGGGCCTCTTTCGGGCCTCTTGGGGGCCTTCTGGGGCCTCCTGGGGGCTTCTTGGGGGCCTGTGGGCCCACCCGCCTCCGAGCACGAAATGTGTCGGGAATGGCGTCTCCCCCCCCCCCTTCCAGAGCCTCCTGGGGCTTCTTGGGGGCCTGTGGGCCCCCCCGCCCCCGAGCACTAAATGCGTCGGGAATGGCGCCCCCCCCCCTTCCCCCCCTTGCAGAGCGAAGCTTGAGCGAGCTCAAGTCCACGTTCTCAGAAACTCACACGCCGGATCGGCGGAGTTCAACACTGAGTTGGGCAACTCCACTTTTTTGTTTTGTTGTAATCCAGAGCTGGGGGAATACGATCTTGAAGGTGGGGATGCACGTTTTTCCATTCTTGAGCCTCCAGCGCTTACAATTGAGCGCCGGGTGCCAGTTGTGCTAACGAGTTCCTTCCTACTTGATCCCCGAGCAACCGACCCTCCAACCCTCCTCGAACCCGCCTCGAACCTCCCTGGGTGTTCCTCTGTCCCCCATCGGACCCCTCTTGTACCTCGATCTCCGAGCCATCACGAAGGATGTATGGCCCACCGCTTCTGGCTCCTGGGCTGCCCTGAGAGCCTGCAGTGCTTCCGTGTATCCGACGCCCCTATACCATGTTCAATGAGATCCGCCCAGAGGCTCCCGAAGATGCACCCAGCTAAGTTTCGGAACATTCCCGCCGAAACGTGCTGTTCCCTCCGCATATTGCCTAGTGCAGCCTAACAAAGCCCCATGAGGCCTACCAACAGCCTATGACTTGGCATCGCTCGGACGTTTGGATGTTTCTCTCGGCGAGGACCATCGAGGAGCATCCTTGATCATCGAGCCGGAAAAAAACACGCACGACACAGAAAAATGCACGAGGCATGGACGTCCGCGTGATGGCAAGATGAGGACCTCACGATAGTCAAGCACGGCATCCCAGAGACTCCGCGACAATCCCTCCTTCATAACACTCCCGCTTTAACGTGCTTCTCCCTCACACCTTCCGTCTAGGGCAGCCCAACACAGCCCTATGTGGCCCCCCACGAGGACCCACTCCTCTTCTTCCTCCCACACCTCTCTTCCTTTCTGACTGCGACGACAACGACGACTGAGGCATGACGACGACTTACGACGACGACAAATGACAAATGACGACGACGACGACCACCACCACCACCACAACGACGACGACGACGACCACCACGACCACCACTGACCACGACCACGACGACGACCACGGCGGTGGCGGCGACGACGACGCTGACGACGGCGACGACGGCGAGGATGAAATACTCTCCCTCCCCCTTGGCGGCGCCGCGCGCGAGAGAGCTCGGCGGTGGCTGCGACAGACAAATACGACAACGGGGGCGAATTAACCACGGCGACGACGAGCAACGAACTACAACGGTCGACCATCGACCATTCTCCTACTGTCTCCTCTCACCGCGCATCTCCTCCCGCCCTCCTCTCCCCATCTTCCTCCACTTCATGTGCCCCTGGCCGTTATCGACGGTCTCTTCCTGCTTCCGATCATTCCCGTCGGCCCTCGAACATGGAACCCAATCGCTGATGTCGGCCACGGCGCAGGACATCCAGACGGCCAACGCAGAGTTCCAGACAAGGGGGGTCGAGATGGACACCAAGATCTTGCAGGCAGGCGCTTTGTCTGTTACAGGCGAAAAAGGGAGCCACCGCGGATAAGATCTGAAAGGATCGCGCCCTGCTTCGCGGGTCTGCGCCAGCTGCAGCGCAGGCCCCAATCGCGCCATCCAGCACGGCTTCAACGATCCCGTTCCGTCGGGCACCCGCGTTGTTTACGACGCGGGGCAGAAAGCGCCCTTTATCTGCAGCCATATCGGATACAGGGGTGCCTTTGCGACAAGCTTGTGCGAATTGACAACGGTGCACCGAGACGCAACCAGGCTTTAGCCACGAGCGCGCCGTCGCATGTGGAGGCCGCACGGACAGCATTGCTTTGTGCGTCAGCGCGCCCCGACCGAGCACAGAACCAGTGATAACGACATTGGCATGTGCAACCATAATATGGATGTAAAGCTTCGCCATCACCATCCCGAACTCTTTCTGCTCCTGTATACAACGCTCCCAGGGCAGGGATATTCTCACCCCGCGCGCGAGCCCCATGTGGCTTCCCAGACGGGGTCAGACTAGATTTGAGGTCGGAAGATCGCGCCGCATCTGTGATACGGCTCGATGTGGAGCCTGGATGTGTTCCACGCCGACGTTGCCGATGCATCGCCGACGTCGCGGGTTCATTCCCGATGTATCGGCGATGCATGGGCGATGCGGCGCGATCTTCCGGTTTCACCTACCCGGACCCCATCTAGGAGGCCTCCACTTATGACGGTAACAGTCTTGCTCTTAATCTACCATGGCGACCCCATTCCTTCCTTGACTCCTCGTTAGTCTCAATATCGTTTTCGCCGTCATCCCCATATCCCCAATCCAAAACCCGCGTCCATCCTCATCGTAAGAGTCTAAATCATCCCTACTTATCGCCCTCCCACCCACCATATACGATGACACGAATGCGCCCGTTACTCAGAAATGCCAGTCTGGTTGGGCGGCGGGACAGCGTCTGGCTTCGCAAGCAACGCCACGGCCGTCAGGAAGGCGGCCATGAAGACGGCCATCGAGAAGGGTATCATGAATTCTTGACGTTTCGACCATGAAGACGGCCATCGGAAAGCTATCATATGTCGAATCGGCCGCCCATCCAGAAACAGATCGCCAGGCGAGTTGCCTTGATCAGGGAAGTGTTGACGCATGCAGTGTAATAACCGCCTTGGAAGTTGTTTCTCGGAGGTCCGTTGGAGCCATCTTGGGTCTCTCTTGGGGTTGTCGCTGAGCCTGGTGGGGCTCTCTTGTGGACCTTTAGGTTCTGTTTGGGAGTCCTGGGGTGGGGGTCTGGGGGGCCCCTTGGGGTCGTCCTGGCCCCCGTGGCTCAAAATGAAGGGGCTCCTCAATTGAGGTCCCCCGCCCTCGGAGGGTCAAACATTCCGTCTGGGGGGCCTCTTGAGCCGTTCTTGGAGCGCTCTTGGGCGTAGTTGGGGCCCTCTCGAAGCCATATTGGGCCTCTCTTGGGGCTCTCTGAGGCCGTTTTGGGGCCATATTGCGGTTTCCGAGGCCCATCGGAAGCGAAAAAGCGAGAACGCAAAAAATAATGTTTCCTCAGGTTTGGGAGCCATTTTGGCCTCTTGGGCAGGTCCTTGGAGAACTCGAAGGGCACTTGAAGCTGTCTTGGGGCCGTCCTGAGGCCTCTTGGATGTGCGTAGACGGCTATCCTGAGCCATCTTGAAGTGTCTTGGGCCATCTTGGAGGCCTTCTTGGGCTCTCTGAGGCCGTCGTGGAGCCATCTTTGGCCATCTTGTGCGCTCCAATGGGTCGCGCCCCCCCTCCCAGGCCCAGGGGTGAGGGTGGGGTAGGGGGTCAAGATAAACCCCCAGATAGCAAGCCGTCTAGCTCACTCACACCCGCCGTCCAAACACATGAGTAACACCCGCGCCCCAGCATGTTCAGAGGTCGTCTCTGGATATGCAGCTGCTGGGAACCAAAACCGGACCCATGTGCGCGACGCTGGGGCGAGGTGCGCCACGCGTGCCAGGCACGCTTGGTGCGCCAGATGCGCCACTTGCTCCACGTGCGCCAGGTGTGCCGCATACTCCAGGTGCGCCTCCGCACGTGACAGCACACATCGGGAAGCATGTCGGCCCCCACCATCCTTGTCGAAATCCAATGCCCATCATTGTGTCTGGTGGGCCTGCGCACAGCCATACGCCACGCGCGCAAGTTAGTACCATCTTGCAAAAACGAACACCTCCGGGTCGGGTGTGGTTTTTCAGAGTTCCGGGAAACTCCAAACACCGGGCCTGCATGTTTTTCCATGGTATCGGGAAACTCCAAACCCCGACCAGGGGAAGCCGACGGACCCGCGTATAGTTTTCGCAGGGGTTTTGGAAAGCTCGGAAGCCTGGGCCCAGGTTAGTTCTTCCACTTTGACCGTCGGGTGGGTGTAAGTGCGGTAAGAGCGTTGTATATCCGATGAAATCGTTTCAACGAAGATGTATGTAGGTTCATGTTAGTTGACCTCACATTTTCAACATATATAAAATATTGAACTTCGCATTAATCTACTTAACGTTTTGTTCGATAAGTATCTTCAACAACATACCATACATACTACTCACAGAACCATCCATCTTATTAACAGAGCTATCGGGTACCACTGCCAAGATATATCGATACATACACCTCAACATATCCAACTTAGTAGTTAAGTCAGCTAAGTCGATGTGGGCTGTCCAATTCGGTTATCCCGAAATTTGCATAACTTTCTATGTTTTTCATGTTTGCTCTTGATATTGCTATGTTTCGGGAAAAACAAAAAACACGTTTTAACAACTACAACACGGCAGTTTTTCAGGACAGGGCGCCGCAGGTCGACGCGCCGAGCCGCCCTCAGGACGCCTGCGGGGCGCGGAGGGGAAGGGGGGAGAGGGAGAGGGGGGGGGGTCAACTATTCTTCAAACTGCCTCCCCTCGGCGGCCATCACCGCCTCCCCTCTCCTCTCCTCGCTGTCGGCGGCCAGCCCGCCCCCGCTCCCTCCTGCCGCCTTCCCTCCCCGAGCCCGCCTTCCTTTTTCGGCGGCATATCCGCCCCTCCCCCCTGCACCTCTCTATCGAAGGGCGGCGCATCCGCCAGCGGCATATCCGCTCTCGCATGCGCTCGTTGTTTTCCTTTTCACGTGATGGCGAGCACATAGCCATCGTCCTGTAGTCGCCGATAAGCCGCCCAGGCTGGCGGGATCAGCTCGGCGGGCATCACGGCGACGTCGCCGCGCGGCCGCCACAGGGACGCGCCTGGGCATGGCGCGCGCACCCATTCCAGGGTCTCCACCAGCAGGTAGCTGGCGGCGCCAGCCTGCGCGCAGCAATGCACGATGTACGCCTCGCCGTCGCCCAGGAGAAAATCCTGAGGGCAGCAACGCCTCGATTTTTGGGGGGGCACACGCATGTGCACCCCTAAATACCAAGGTTGGTTGCGCCGTCTGTCCTGGCTGCCGTGCATCTGGCCGTCGATCGACGCCTCTCTGCTGGTCCACGTTTCAGCCCTGCGGAGGGGTTCCTCCTCCTCCTCCTCCTCCTCCTCCTCCTCCTCCTCCTCCTCCTCCTCCTCCTCCTGGCGGCAAGCCGCCTCGGCGGCAAACCGCCTTCCCCTCTCCCAGCCCATCTTCCTCCACAAAGGGCATGCAAGGTTGCGCCCCGAGTGCCCGAACGTACTGTCCAGCTCTGGCGTGCGCCACGCTTTGGCGCGGGAGCGCGGCGCCTCCTTCGCTTCCTCCAGGAAGCAGGCGAGCATCGCCGTCAAGGCCGACAGCTCGAAATTCGCAGGGTTGTCGATCTCCTGCGACCTGGACCGAAGCAGGTTGTGCTTCCGCTCGAGCACGAAGGCGTCCGACCAGATGCCGCCCTCCGCAGGCTGGTCGGGGACGTGCCACAAATAAGGGTGCTTCGGCTTGATCAGGGCTGGCCCGTGCGCGGCTTCGCGCAGCGCCAAGGAAATCGAAACGGCCATGTTCCAGACAGCTATCAAATTCGGCACGGCGCCGATCCTCAGGACGCAGCCGAACCGCCTGTCACCTAAGCGCACGAGGATGCGCGCGGGCCGACGCGGTGCGTCCTCGAACGCGCAGGCCAGCGTTTGCGTTTCAGCTGCGGCCGCATGTCGTTTTGCCCTGCGTGTACAATTCGAGCAACTTCGCCATCGCCTCGAACGACCGCGCCGCAGCGTTCGCCATGCCGCTGGGACGCAGCTCTGTGTGCGCCCAATGACGAATCAAAGGGGACACGGCCAAGCAATCCGACGCCTTGCCCACGAAGTGCGACGCCTTGCAGGTCGCTTTCTTCCGAGCCACGCTGAACAGAAACGCTGGTGGTTTCCTGCCGCCTCTGCCAGTCCGCCACGCCGAGCAGCGATCCCGCCACGTTCCCCACGCGTCGGGGATGACATCCCTCACCGCCTTGAGGAGCGCAAAGGTTTCGACCTGCAAGGTCCCGCCGCTGGCCAGCATGGTATGCATGGGGTCCCTCACGTATGTGCTCGGCGGCGCCACCGTCCGCAACGCCTGGCACGCCACCAGAGAACGGTCATCCAGAGTGATGCCCATTGCCGTCTCCTTCGGGGGCCGGAACATCAGAAGGGAAGGAAGGGGGGGACATCAGAAGGGGATCGATGGAAATGTTTTCCTCCCTGGCTCCAGTCTCTCGATGTTCGCTCTGGTTGTCGTGTCCCGCAGCGACGCCAAATCATCATATTGCTGCAAAAACTCGTCGGACGACAGCGGGTCAATGCGCGACGAGTCAGCGCACCAGACAGGCACGAGGTAATCATCGTCGTCGTAGTCTGCAAGACATTCCGCCTGATCCAGCACAACGTTCTTGCATTGCAAGCACGGTCTCAGACCTGCAGCGCCCTTGGTGCAGAATGTCTCTTTTCCAGCCGCCTCGTCTGCAATCAAGCGGTGGAACTTGGCGAAAGAGTGGAAAGTCTTGTTTGGGCCTCCCCCCCCCTCGCGCGGTCAATCAACTAGTTACAGTAACCAGCAAGAAGCAGAACTGTAACACTGGAAACTACAAGCTACAACTGGCACAGGAAACTGCGAATCACGGTCCTACAGCCTGGTGGCCCCGCAAGGGGGCCGGCGGATTTTATGGCAGGGATGGTGGCCCTGCGGACAGCAGGCAATGTGCTGACACCCCCGCCGCCCCTGTCGACAAACAATACAAAAGTTCTCGTCAGCCTCACAGACATGACTCAAGACTTTGCCCCAATGTGTACTTTTTATGGTTCTGTTGACAAAGATGGTGGGGGGGGCATCGGGCTGGCTGCGCATGCTTCGAATTTGGAGGCAGAGTGTGCTTTCTTTGTTTTTTGACAGGGGTGCTGGGGGCGTGTGATCATGGTGGTCGGCATAGTTCCTGGTTGGCTGCCTGGCTGCCGGTCGCCTGAGGGAGAGGGTGCATATCGATAGGGAACAGTAAACCCCGCCTCCGAGCAGGGGAAGGAGTGATTCTGGCAGAGAGGAAACGAATTCGTTAATCCACCCACGCACAGAGGGCTGGTAGGATTTCTTCAGGAAGGCTGTCGGGAAGTGAGTGATATTGGGAAGGCCGTCAGGGAGGCCATCATGAAGGGCTGGCGGGGCGGTTGTGTGGAAAGCCGTCGGCGAAGCCGTCAGGAAGGCCGTCGCGGCGTCCGTGGCGTCACGGGCCCGTGCGGCCCCAGTTCTCGAAGGCGAACCCTCGCGCGCGTGGACACTTCTCCTCGCCAGGCCTGAACGCGCTCGCTTGGACGCGCGCGCGCGCCTTGCACCGCTGCGCTCGTGGAGTGCTGGACGTCCTTTCTGCGTAATCCTGCACAGTCGGCGCATCCAATGAGAGACCGGCTTGCCTACAGGTGCCCACGGGAATTTCTTATCCCACGATGGTTTGTGGGATCCACAGGAGCACTTGAACATGGCATGGGGCCCAAGAACCGACGTCGACTTTGCCCTCAGTTGACTATGCCCTCAGTTCAGAGTGAGGGAGCTGAGCGGTCATTCATTGTCCCTGGGTGCGCGACTGAATTGGAGTTCCGCGGCGAGGATTATGCTTGATGTTTGTTGTCGTCGTCCTCGCCCTCCCGCGACCCACCTTGCGACCCACCCGCGACCCACCTCGTGGCCGCTCCCTCATTCTTATCCGCAAACGTGGGGTGCTGCGTGTGAATTCTACTTGTATGTATGTACTGAAGTCCCCCTCCTCGCAACCATCCTCGATCATGGACCTCATGCTGATCGCGACCATCCAGCTTTTTCGCCGACGATCGCTGGATTCCGGCTACGACTGCCGAAGACCGTTAGAAGACCGCCGGCGACCGCCGAACACGGCCCAGGAGCGATGGGTGACAAAGGGTCCATGGTCGAACGCGTGATGTGTCTGCCGCAGCCCCCCCCATCCCTTTGCCCACTACTCAACACCGCCCCTCCGCGGGGTCCCGCCCAGCAGGCGCAGCAGACGGCGGCACAGCTTAACATAAACGCCGACGCCACCTCGCAGCAGACGATACTGGACGCACAGGCGCGCGCCGTCGTCGTCGCCCCCACCTCCGTCGCCGTGGCCGTCGGTCATCCGTCGCCGGTCGTCCGCCGTCCGTTGTCCGTCGCCCGTCGCCCGTCGTCGTTCGTCGTCCGTCGCCTTTATTCGTTGTTTGTTGCCGTGGTTGCCGCCGCGGTCGCCGTTGCGGTTGCCGCCACGGTCGCCGTCGTTGTCGTCATCGTCGCCGTCGTCGTCCGCCGCAGCCGCCGTCGCGGTCGTCTCCTCCGATCCTCGTGGATTGAGGTTGTTGGGCGTTTTGTTAACACTGTTTTGCGTCCTCTGGAGGCCTCAAGCGTCTGGGGGGCTCTGGGGATCGGCACCTCGGGGGAATTTCTCTGGAGACCTCCCGAGGCCCAGACCCAATGCTTCCGCGGTTCGGTCGGAGTCGGCTTCCTCGCAGTCGACAGCGTTCGGTCGGTTCGATTCGGTGGGCTGCTGCGCCGCTGCTGAGCTCGATCCATCGGGCTCGGTGGGCGTCGGCTTCGCCGTGGGTCTCCAGTCGGTCTTCGGCCTTGTGGCCCCCGTGGGCGTCTATGATCTCTGACGGTTCGAGAGATCTCGACAGAAGTTTGTCATGATTCTCGTTGCCCGCGTCGGGGGAGGGAGAATCGACACCACCACCACCACCACCCCCACCCCCACCACCACCACCACCACAAACCACAAACCACCACCCCCACCACCACCACCACCACCACAAACCACAAACCACGAACCACCACAAACCACCACAAACCACCACCACCCACCACCACCACCACCACCACCACCACCACCACCACCACCACCAGGCGGGACACCTCCAGCGAGGAGGTCCACGATGCCTTCCCGAGCTGGGGACAGGGGATGTCTCGAGCGAGAGGCGGGGACCACACCACCAGGGGGACCCCCCTCTGGCTCCCCCTGGTGGTCCACGCATCGCCGATAGGGGCCCAGCAGCTCGCCCCGCCAAGGAACGTGCGGATCTGCAACCGGGGTCGTATCGCCGATCTATCGGCGACGTATCGCCGATTGGATGCACATGGTGTGGGTCGCTGCAGACGCCGCCGGCCGAACCTCCTCGGCGCTGGTGGTCGCGTGCTCCCATGGAGGCGTGGCCCCCGCTGCCGCTGGGCAAACCTTGAACGTATCCGAGATGAGCTCCTTGCCGATGTGCTGCAACGTGGCGGAATGGCGGTGGGTCTTCGACTTCTTTCCCAGGACTGGCATAATCGCGCGCGTGTCAAAGTCACCGAGGATCCTGTGCATATCGCGGGCCTTGATCTCCACCGCAGGGGCGGACATCAGCTGGCGCATCCAACGCTTCGCCGCCCTGTCCAAGGTCACCATCGTGGCCGGCCTGGGCGAGAGCTGGATGCACACGTGGCCACATGTCTTTCGAGTGCTCGGCCCTCGTGTGGCCAGGCACGGTGACCCCTCCACACGTGCATCCAGCAGGTCGCCTCCAGGTGTACCACGTGTGAATCCGGCCATGTGCGTTTCCAGTGCCCTGGTATAAAATAAACAATCGGAAACAAAGAAGACACATTTAAAACAAAAACAGAAGCAGTGCCCTGGTATACCCCTCTGTGCCAGTCCCCCCCCCTGTCGTTGTCCCTCAACGGAGGCCGAGAGGGTTTTTCTTTGGGGGGGGGGGGGGCGGCGGCTCGTTAACAGCAGCGTCGGGCCGTCGGAGGCCTGCGGATCGGGGGGGCGGGAGACCTCCCAGACAGCGTGGGTGGGAGGCGACGATGGGGGCGAATAGCCCGGGGGGGAGCGATACATTTGAGGCGTTCCAGGCAGGGCCTCGCCTTCGAGGATCCAAGGAGCTGCCACCTCTTCCTCTGCGGAAGGCGGCGGAAGGTCGCTGGAAGCTGGCCGCCTCCGCCTGCGGAAGCGGGCGGAAGGCCGGGGGAAGTAAAGATTGGCCTCCCAAGAAGTGGCACTTTTTGTGGGTCCAGGGTCTCCGGAGCCCGCCGCATGCATCCAGGGGCGCGAGCAATCCACATCTTCGGCGATGCTCCCTGGCGAAGACGTGTGATGCCCGCCCTGGGGCTATTCGCCCCCCATCGTCACCTCCGAGCGGGCGCAAAGCATACGGTCAGAAACTTCTGGCGCGCACCAGCGCTCGCCCTTGCCTGGTCGGGGTCGCTCCTGTGCGCAGGCGATCCAGGGGCTTCTGCGAAGGCGTCTTAGAAGACCCCCCTCGTCCACCCCCCTGGTGCGCGCAGCGATCCCTTGGAGGCGAGGGCCTTCTGGTAGATTTGTTTCCGAGCTCCTGGTATGCCAGGACCTCCCAGGATAATCACGGTCAGGAACGTTCGGATAGCGCGTCGCTCTGCCGGGTCTGGCCCAAAACGCTTCTGCACGACACGTTATCCAGTTCCCAGTCCCTAGGCTGCCTTTCCGAACCTCCTGCCCCGCGAGGCGGAGCGAAACGATATCCGCTTGAAGGGCATAGCGTGTCGCCGGGGCCACCGCCGTGACACGCTATCCAAAAGCTCCTGACCGTATCCGTGTCCACGGCCTCGCGGGCTGGGCCCCTGGGCCGCGACCCCGCGGATACGGAGCGTTTGTTCGCGGATGCCCCGCGCGGAGCGTATCCGTGCGACCGCGTATCCGCGGGATCGCGTCCCGGATTCCAGACCGCGAGGGCGTGGATATGGATACGCTCGCTGCTCGTGAAGAGACCGTCAAACATGGGTTCACTGGGCATGGGGAGACTGGAACGCCCACCCGGACAAGTCGGCGAAGGACATCTGCACGGGTTCGCTCGACATCGGCATTCGAGTGTGCTGGTGCAGTCCCCGGTCTGTGTCGCAAATCGACGTTCGTCTCCCTCGATGCGTTAGGTTTTTATTCGGACGTCGGCAAGCCAAAAAAAGCAAGGGTGTTTTGCGGAATGCTGTGCCGTGCGCGCGTGGAGTGCCGCTGGCAGTTTTCTCGAGAGGGCGTGTTGCTTAAGGGTGCCCTGTGAATGTTCGAATTCAGGCGTTTGGATCAGCGACGGGTCCCGTTTCCATACTGGTTCGGCGCGCTCCGTCGCCAAATCAGGCGGCACCAGCCTCATGTTTCGGAGGTGCCTTCTCCGATCCGCGGATCTGGCGCCCACGCGCCAGATCCACGGATCTCTAATACACATTAGCATGTGCCCGACATCATGGCCGGCTGCTCGAGCTGCGTCCAGCCGTGGCCACGATTGGTGCCCAGGAGGCCCCAAAAAGAAAAACGACGACGACGACGACGACGACGACGACGACGACGACGACGACGACGACGACAACGAGGGCGCCCAAAGCCCGAACGCGCAGGGAGCGCCTGCAGGAGCGTTCCTCAGCGCCCGCGCGCGCCAGGCCAGGGGGGGCGCTCTGGATCGAGCGCCTCCCACGATCCCGGCTCTGGCAGATCTTGTGTCTCCTTAATTTTGGCCTTCCTTCGCGGGGGAGGGGGGTTGGCGGCGACCGTGCTCGGGGTCCGGGAGCGCGGAACCCGGAGACGAAACCGTGTCCCGGCCTCGGGGGCCGGCTTTTTGCCCCCGAGCAGTGTTTACATTCTGGGGTTCTTACGCGGGCTTGGGCTCTTCGGTCCCGGGTCGGCATGCGGCTCCAGGTTTTTGTGTCGCCCGTGGCCGCCGCCCGCGGCCGCTTCGTGGGCGCTTCGTGCGCCAGCTGGCGGCTCCAGAATTTTCTTGCCCGGTGGCCGCCCGTGGGCGCCTCGTGGGTGTCGCGTGCGCCGGTTGGTGGTCCTTTGGGTGTTCGCCCGGGCGTCGCCCGTGGCTGGCCGTGGGCGCCTCGTCGGCGCGGCGTGCGCTGGCTGGGCTTCTAAAGGCTGCTCGCCCGGCGTTGGCGAGCCCTGTAGCCCTGTTGCTTCGGCAACTTGCTTCCCCCCTTGCACTGAAGGGGTCCTGTCGGATGTTGATCAGGAGCGACAGAAGGACGTACACGTACATGAATCCACGCTAGTTTCGAGAGTACGCATTGCGCAAATGTTCGTATAACGCGGCCAGTCTCGCGGATCGAAGGGCCGTGTTCATGTACATAGCTGGGCGCGTACGTCCTTTGTTGGCTCCCTAGTTGAGAGAGTGGGCGAAGGTGTGGCGCCGATTTCGGTAGGCGGCTGGGCTACCGGGCTGCCACGCCCGGGGTCTGATTGCGAGACCCACGCTATAGGAACAAGGCGAACGAGGCCCTCTGTTCCTGGCAGCATAAGGCAGATGACATAAATGGCAAGCAGTGCCGAGGAGTTTGCGGCATTGCCAAGGATTGCCAGAGCTGCTGGAGGTCTCCAGGGTTTCCAGGGCTCTCTAGAGCGACGAAAATGACGAGGCCGAGGAGGAGGAGGAGGAGGAGGAATTTGTCGAATGGTGACGACGACGACAACGAAGACGAAACTGACGACGATGATGATGAGCAGGACGATGAGAATGATGATCGTGCTGGCGATGAAAATATTGCTGATGATGGTGGGCAGGGGGAGACATGAGAAGAACCCGTCGCATGTCGCACCTCTCAACTTCAGTTCTGGAAGCGCATTTGGGCCGTCCTGGGGTTGCCGTGGGCTCCTGTGGAACAGTCTTGAGGGTCCCTTGGGGTCCTCTTGGGTCGTCTTCGGGCTCTCCTGGGCCGTCTTGGAGCCCTCCTCGCCGTCTGGACGGTCTCTTCCGGCCGTCGTGGAGACGCCTTGAAGTTGACTTGGGCCATCGACGGGCCCTCTCAGATCGTCTACATTGAAGGCCGTTAAGCCCGGTTTGCATTGACGAATGCCCGAACAGGGAAGAATGCCACAACCTCTTCAAGATTGAATCGGAATCCGTACTTTTGGTCCTCTTCGGTCCTTCTGGCGAAGCTGTGGCAAGGCATGGTGTCTACCACATTTTCGGACCATTTGCTGATAGGGTTTTTTCTTCGGTGTAATGACTACTACCAACGATGGGTGCATTATTGCCGTGAGTTTTTTTTTGTACCAGTTGGCTGCGCATGCTCACCTGCTCACACCTCCCTCCCGTTCCACCCTCGCCTCCCCCCTTCCTTCGCGGACGAGGGAGAGGCGGAGGAGGTGGAGGGTGGAGGAGGGTGGAGGAGGAGGAGGAGGAGGAGGTCGCAACGTCTGCCCAGCTTGCCCTGAGCACGCCCGCCGCAGCTTTTCCTGCCTGGCCTAGGTGGTCACGCGCGGAGTTTGAGCGAGTGTTTTGACGTTCGTTTTTCTCCCGATTCGCTCGAAGCTTCCCAGACACCCGACGGCATTCATTATTCTTTCAATCCGCGCCCCCAGTGCTCCCGACCCCTTCCCCGTAGGTAGCTTTTCGTCCCGGATCCCTTTTTTATAGCCCCAGGCCCGTAAGCGGCCCCTGGAGGCCGGAAGGCGGAAGGAATTAGAAAAGCCACGATTGAAAACATCATGCAGTCGTAGGTCTGGGTCGCTATTCTCTTGAGCATGCCAGACTACGTGGCCTTTGAGCTATGGAGACTGCCGACGAACTTCTTCTCGCTGGGGTCCGAGGAGCAGTGGAGGGCAATCTCCGAGATCAAGGTGCCGGCAGAGCAGATGCCGAAGCGGCGCGCGCTCCCCCTATTCCTCGTCACTCCTTGTCACTCCTCCTCCTCCTCCTCCTCTTCTGCGTACTCATCTTCCTCCTCCTCCTCGGACAACCCCGATACTCGTCCCTCGGTTTCCTCAGTCGAGGCCTCCAGTTTTGTGTGGCCGGCACGCGGTCACCAAGAATCTAAGGCGCGCGAAGCCAGCCCCTTCAGCTCTGGACCCAATTGGAACCAGGCTGAACGTACGTTTTTCTCCAGATGCTAGATTTCGGGTTCTTCCGGCGTGTTTGCTTTAAGCCGCTCATCATTCCATAGCCTCCCCCTCCTCGGCGCGATCCTTGCCGGATGACGTTCGGGGAAGACGTGCTGGCCGTTGCGTACTTCCTCGTGATCCTCGGCTTGCCGGTGGCCCTGCCGGTCGCGACGGCTGGGCTCGTCGTGGCGAGGTCTCCGCTGCTGAAGTGGTGGGTCCTCCTGCTGGCGGCCCTGGCGCTGCACCCGATTCCGCCCTTCAAGGACCCCAGATATCCGACGATGTGATTCTCTCAATCCCGCAGTTTTTCCTTGATTTCGGTTTCTGTGAGCTGGTAATTCTTGGACTCGGCATCTTCGGGCGTTTTCGTTGCTTCTCGGCGATTTTCCAGCCTCGGGATGCTTGCCATCTCTTGTGCCTCATCGAGAGCGTTCCGGGGATGCCTGGATCGTCCCGAACGGCCGCCGGAAAGCCGAGCTATGACCCGAAAGCTAGGGGATCTCCGACGATCCTAATTTTCAATCCGGGCGTCTTTCTTTGGTTTCGGCCTCTGTGGTCGTCAATCATTGGGCGGTGGGATCATCAAAAATGGAGGATCCCCGGCGAAAACTTGCCCCTGGGGAGCGGTCGGGACTTTTGGGACCGCGGATCGACAAAAATCATAACGGCGGACGTCAGCGACTTCGGGGGCGCCGACCGGAGGGGGGGATTGGCCGGCGTTGATATCAGAGTTTTCGGGACGTCTTCGTCAGTTCTCGTCGGAGTTCCAGCCTGGGGGTGCCTCCCAGCAGTTGCGCCTCGCCGAGAGCGTTTCCGGGGTGCCCGGATCGTCCTGAGCTGCTGCTGGAGGCCCGAGTTACGGCCCAAGGGAGGGAAGCATCGACTTTCAATCGCCATCGCCAGAGGGGCTTGAGCTCCCCACCCCGCCCGAGGAACTTGGGTCATTGCCTTCCCCCTGAGCAGGTCCCCCCCCTTGTCGACCCCTTCAGGACTGGTACCGGAGAAATCGCATGGGCGTGATCCTCGCGAAGTATTTCACGATGACGCTGGTATTTCGGGGGTCAGGAGGAGGAAGTGACATTGATACCACTGCCCATCCCTCGTCGCCACGCCTGGATTCGCCTCGAATCCATTGTCAGAGCGCACCCTGGAGAGGTTCATGGGGGCAGCGGTACGGTTATTTACAACGGAAGCGCAAAGTTGATCCTCCCCCTCCTCTTCCCATTCCGCCCCATCCTCTCACACCTCCGCCTCCGCACCCTTGGTTGAGCTGTCAAGCCTTGACGGTTGTAGATTTCCCCTGCAGGTGTTTGACATGAGCCACCCTCACCCGATGATGAAGAATTTGGGCACGCCTGCCGTGGAAGAGAACCCGCAGAAGATTGCACCAATGGTGCCTCTTGCCTGCCCTCACGGAGTCCTGAACTTTGGAGCCATTGTGTGGGTTTTCTTCAGCAGGTGGATCTGCGGCCTCGAGCAATACACTGCCGGCGCACCGGTGGTAGCCTGGGTGCCCGGACTGAGATATCTGTGTGCTTCTCTCTGGATTATTCCTGCAAGCCGCAAGTCGATCAAGCGCGGGCTACAGGAGCATCCACGCACCGAGGACAAAGATGGCAAGCGGATAGATACAGACGTGCCACGACGTGGAGGAATGGTTGGCGTTGTGCCCGATGGAATTGCTGGCATCTTCCGCTCAAAGCCAGGGTCAGAGCTACTTTACATAGGAAAGAAGCGTGGTTTGATGCGCATCTGCCTGGAAGAGGGAGCGATCATTGCAGCGGGATGGTTCGCTGGCACCAGCGACATGTTCCACATTATCCAGGGGGCCAGACAACCACACATGATGCTCGTTTCGACAGCTTGGGTCGCAAACAGCGACTGCGCAACCTGTGAAGTGCAATCTATGGCGTCCGATCTACGGGCCGCTCTCGTGTAAGACCCCATCGTATGGGGCCCACATCGCGTGGGACCCAGCGGGCCCCAGTTGTGTGGAGTCCTACCGCGTGATACACGCCCCCGTTGTGTGGAGTCCTACCGCGTGATACACCGTCGTGAGGGATCCTATCCTGAGGGACTATCGCGTGGGGGGGGCCTTGTGGTTTGGAACATGTTCGTGTGGGCAATATCAGGCGAGGCCCTACCGTGGAAGTTCATATGGACTGGGTACCTATCCGTGCGTTGGGATTGTATCGTGCTGGGCTCTATCGTGTGAGGCCTCATCGCATTGGACTCTACAATGCTTGACCCTGTCTTTAGGATCCTACCGTGTGAGGCCCCCTCGTGGGGGGCCGCATCGTGCTAGGCCCTCTTGTGCTCGGCTCTCTCTTGTGGGTCCTATTGTGCATGTCCCTATCGTGTAGGGCATGATGGTGAATCGTGTGGGACCTTATCGTGTTGGACCCTATCGCGTGGACCCCAATGGTATGAAGTCCTCCTCTGTGGGCCCCAGTTGGTTGGTACCACGCCGCGTGGGATTCTGCTGGGTAGCGCCAGAAAGACAGGGTTCCACGACGGAGTCCCATGGCAAGTCGGGGGCGAGAGATCCGCCAGGAGCATCGATACCCCCAGGTTGTTTCCTAAGCGCCGGCTCTCCCCCCCTCTTCCTCCTGCCTCCGCCGCTAGTTTGACTGCCTACTGGACCCAGCTAGCCGCCGATCAAAAAAGTATACAGTGAGCAGCTTCAATAAGGATCAGTGATTTTTCAAAGCTCGGTCGTTCCTTAGGCTTGCATGCGTTGTTGACCGCTCCTATGCGTTATTTATTGCTTATCGTTCCTGATGCGATCCTCCTTGGAAAAAAGGGGCTTCGTTCCTTATTCATCGTTCCTTAGATCAGGCCCCCCTTCCATGACACCCCGCCCGTCGGCCCCCCCCAGGCCCACCGAGCCCAGCCCCTCGAGCGATCCACCCCCCCACGCGCCGCGAAGAACAGACAGTCCATCCCTACCGGCGGCACGAGATCAATCGAAGAAGAAAAACGCCATAAACATAAACTTTTAGCGCTCCGCGCGGATTTCTTGGATCCGGGCTGGGCCTCCCTGGCGGCGCCTCCGGCGCCGCCCACGGCGCGCTCCGCGCGCCAGGGAGGGGGTTCCAGCGCAGATCCAAGAAATCCGCGCGCAGCGCCAAAAGTTCATGTTTATGGCGATTTTTCTTTTTCTAGTCTAGGAGCAGCCCTTGCATCGGAGGGGTACCCCTGCGCTCTGCGTGCTTGACTCTCCACCTTGGAGCGGCCTCATTTCCGACGTGTATCTCGGACGGGGCCTTGTGTTCCCGGTGAGGGGGGCCACGGTCTTGACCCGCGCTCTTGTAACCTCGCTTCGACTGCACACCCCACGCGATCGACCACCCCACGCTTGTGCCCATTTTTCTGTAGACTCTGGCAAGTTTACTTGCACGGATGCGGGGGGGGTGCGTGGCGAGTCCTGAAATGAGATCTGCACTTCACGCAAGCCGCAAGCCGGAACCCACTTGCACGCCGTTTCTCCCAGCGTTGCTTGAAGACTCGGTTGAGGGGGGTGTCAGTATCGTTTCACTGGCCCTGTCACCACCCTCATCCCCACCCAGACGCCCACCATCTCAACACCCCAGGTGGGGACATACCCCTCGAAACCCGAAGGGAACAACCTATACCTCCACCTAGGAGGGTCAAGCGGCCGGTGGGGCCCAGGCCACGCCCACGGGGAGAGGTGTCAGTTCAACGGTGCTCGGGGAGGGGGGGAAGCGCCATGCAAGTAAACTTGCCAGCGTCTGCATAAAGACGCTCTCTTGTGGAGCAGCCAGGGCTGAACAGATCCCGCCCCTCGGGGGCCTGCCGCTGGAGGGCACGCAGAGAGCCCCGAGTCTCCCCCCGCTGCTCCGGGGATCGTCTGAGTTCGCACCTCGACGCGGGCGGCGGGCTCCCACGGGCTTCTCACCAGGGGAGCAAGAAGTCGAGATGCGGATGCTTTCCAGGACTTCCAAGACTTCATGCTCCTCCTCGCGGGAGCCCAGCCTGAGATCCTGGCGTCGCAAGGTCTTCGCAACGGGCGATTTCGCCGGGTGTCGGGCCCCGGGACCATCACAGATCGATCTGGCTCGAGGGTCGAGGGCTCCGGTCGTGATTTTCACGATGCCACAGTTTTTTCTCGCAACGTCGGGTCTCAGGGCAGGAACGAGGGTCGCCAGATGCTCCGGAACTCCTGGAGCGTGCCTTGAGCCAGTCGCAGTGTGGCATCGTTCTCGTCCCATGCTTGAAGCCCATCGTCGGGGCATCCCTCCTAATGCAAGAGCCCTTCCTCGGGGGCTACGGTAGGTTCGTGTCGTGTCGACCAGCGGCGACCCCGCCAGCGGCGTTCAACGTTGAACGCCGCGGGCGACACAGAATCGTTCGATGTGGAACGATTTGGACGTTTCGGAAATGGCCGATCGTTCAAGGTTGAACGATCCCCGCGGTGTCAGATACCAACGCCAGGGTCGAGACGATGCGAACTTGACGTACACTCCCAGCTCCCGTGTTGGAACCCATGCTCGGAGCCAGCGTATGATAGTAGTAAGTCGGGCACGTCCCTCTACAGGAGGAATGCTCAAAACTAGCCCAGAACTAGTACGGGGACGATTTCTTGACCTTTTTAGAAAAGTATGTTTGAGCATGTTTTGTATATTTTCGGTTGTTCGCCCGAAATCCGCCTGTAGGGGGGACACGCCCGACTTCACGATAGCACCCTTCTCGTCTTGCTTTGGGGGTCCCTCCTCGCGGGCTCCCCTCTCCACGGCACGCGAAGCGCGCCAGCGGCTGCGCCAGAGGCGCCGCCCGAGGAGGAGATCTGCCGCACAGGGCGCTCGTGGGCGCCCAGCGGCTTGCCAAAAACAGTTGCCGCACGCGGGTGTCCGAAGGGAATCGTTGTTTGATTCAGTGTTTTGCCGATCGGCGCCCCCCCCCCCCATCCCCCCCCCCAATGGAGTAGATCTTGGCTGTTTTTTGGCGCATGTTTCGAGCGGGTGGAGCCCCTCCCCCATAGGACACACTGCTGCAACCAGTCGCACTAAGCAGAGGTCCGCAGCCAGACCCACCCCCTCCCCCCCTTCCGCCCAACGTCGAAACGCCGAATAAGAGAACGCTCACAAGCTAGCGCCCGGGCTCCAAGCCGCCCGAATGGTGGTGAAGAGCGTGAGGTCGGTGGCTCGCGGCCGCACCGCCGACGCGTCAGCGATGCGGCTCGAGGTGGAGCCCGATCCTCCACGCCGACGTCGCCGATGCATGAGCTTTGCGGCGCGATGCTCCGGACCGGTCTGCTTCGACCCCAGGTGGGCGGCCTCCATGCCGTCGTGAAGTTTGGTCAGCGTGGTCGCGCCGCCGGTTCGGCTGGCCCAGCGCGCTTCGGCACGACCCGTAATCCACGTCCCAGTCCCAAAGCGCCAGCATGCCGAGGTTCTGGGGAGCGGGGCGACACGCTACCAGCTTGCAAAGCATAGCGTGCCGTCGGAACCGCCGCCGCGACACGCGAAGCGACAGTCTTGACCGTCTGTGGTCTTCTGGCCCCCTGCCGTCACCGACCCGCTCGGCCTCCTGGAGTGGATCTCCCGCCGCCTGCAGGTGTCGCTCTTCTCGGAGGAGGGCCAGTTGAGACGATGGCGGCCCGCCCGCCCGCCGGACCCAGATCCGCTCCAAAGCTTTCCCCAGACCCCTCCTGAGGCCCACCCTGACCCGCTCTCAGAAGTGGATCCAGCCATGGCGACGAGAAGCATGCAAGAGGCCCAGAAAACACGAAAAGCGCCAGCGAGGGCCGCCGTTGTCCCGACGTCCCCGGGCGCCTCCTGGGGTCCATCCTGACCCGCAATCAGAGGCGCATCCAGCCATAGCGACGAGAAGCCCCCAGAAGAGGCCCAGATCCGCTCCGAAGCTGTCCCTGGACGCCTCCTGGAGCCCATCCTGACCCGCTCTGAGAGGGGGATCCGGGCATGGCGACGAGAAGCCTCCACGAGAGGCCCGGCAAGCAGCGGATGCGCCGAGGGAGGGCCGCCGTGGTCCCGACCCGGCCCTCTCCTCCGGTCCTCCTGTTCCTCGGCCGCTGGTGCCTGCCCGTGCCCCGGCGGGTGCCGTTGACGATGTGCTCTCGGATCGTGCAGGCCGAGAAGAAGGCTCGGCGGCGCGCCGAGGGGAGGAGGAGGAGGAGGAGGAGGAGGAGGAGGAGGAGGAGGAGGAGGAGGAGGAGGAGGAGGAGGAGGGGGAGGGCGGGGCAGGCCTTCTCCGAAGGCGGCGGGGCTTCGGAGAAGGCTTGGGAAGCTTAGGCTTAAGTCGGGCATGTCCCTCTACAGGGGGAATATTCAAAAATAGTCAAAACATATTCTGGGGACGACTGTTCGACTTTTTTGGTTCGTTTTTGAATATGTAAACTATTATTGTGGTTCCTCCAAAATCCGCCTGTAGGAGGACATGCTCGACATAAGAGAAGAGAAGATCGGCGTCGCCCCAACATACTAATATTATGTGCGCGTCGCCCCCCCCCCCCCCCCCCCCAGGGGCGACGCGCGCACCGAGAAATCTTGTAGTGTATGCGTCGTGGCGGGCGATTTCTGGCCACACGGCTCGGGAAACGAGCTACTACAATATGGGTATACTATATATTCGGGTCGAACGCGAGCCTCCAAAGAGGACATCTAGTACTAGTGTGTCTCAGTGCGTCCCAGAAGAGGGAGGGGGCGTCTCAGAAGGCGGCGGGGCTTCGGAGAAGGCTTGGGCCGCTTGGGCAGGAGGCCTTCTGAGCCTTCTGAGGATCCAGGCCCAACCCTCCCAGATGGAGGTCAGGGTGGATGGGGTCGGAGGATCGCGCCGCATCGCCGATGCATCGGGGATGCGGCTCGGTGCGGAGTCCGGCTTTCTCCACGCCGACATCGCCGATGCATCGCCGACATCGCCGATGCATCGGTGATGCATCGGCGATGCGGCGCGATCATCCGACCCCGTCCACCCTGACCTCCATCTGGGAGGCCTTTAGAGAAGGCCCGCTTCCTCTGCATGCCCCCCCAGTGGCCGCGCCGCCGTGAGGCGGAGCCCACCGAGGATGAGGTCGAGCGGCTGCACCAGGAGGTGTATGGCGGCCTGGCCAGGGCCTTCAACGAGGAGATGCGGCACCTCGCGGGCTACTCGGAGCGGGAGCTCGTGGTCCTGTGAGTGATGGCGTGCGCCTGGAGATAGAGGAAGAGCCAACGGCAGAAACACAGGCTTTCGCAGCGCCGCGCGGGCTTCCTGGATCGGCGCCGGCCCTGGCGCGCTCCAACAAATCCGCGCGGGCCTCCGAAAGGTTATGTTTTTGCATTTTTTGGTTCTCGAGGGCAGGCATGTGGCTCGTGGCCGGCCTTCTGTGAGGACATGGGGCGTCTCAGATCGGTGCGTGGGGACCTCTGCGACGGCTTCTGGAAAGGCCCAACCCCCCGATCGACTGCGCGCGGGAGTGGCCCTTCGCCAGAGGGACGCTTGGTGCGGGCCCACTCTGGCCCCCCGATCGCTGACGGCGGTGCGATGGCAGCGGCTTGCGCGCTTCGATCTGCCCCCCCCCCCCCCCCCCCCCCGCAAACCCACTCCAAGCCGCGCACCGGCGCTCACCGTTGCCTGATCGGGGCCGCTCTTATGCGCAGCCGATCCAGGGGCTTTTGCGAAGGCGTCTTGGACGCCCCCCCCCGCCCAACCTCCTGGTGCGGCGCGCCGCTATCCTTTGGAGGCAAGGGCCTTCTGTTGGATTTATTTCCCGAGCTCCTGGCAGGTGAGGGCCTCCAGGGTTCATTGCGGTCGGGAACTTTTGGATAGCGTGTCGCTCGGCCAGTTCTGGCCCACCACGCTTCGGCGCGACACGCTAGCCATGTCGCGGTCATCATGCGTCAACGTCCCGAGCCTTTCCGAGCCTCCCATCCTCTGTAGTGGAGCGGCATGCTATCCGCTCGCAAGGCATAGCGTGTCGCCGGGGCCGCCGCAGCGACACGCCGTCCCAAAGTTCCCGACCTTAGGCGAGGCGTTTCCGAGAGCTGCTGAGTTAGGGGAACAAACATAGGCATAAACATACAAGCTCAGAGGTCCGCGCGGATTTCTCGGATCGGCGCTGGACCCCCCTACCTGGCGCGCGGAGCGCGCCAGGGACTGCGCCGGAGGCGCCGCCAGGGGGCCCCAGTGCATATCCGAGGATTCCGCGCGGACCTCCGAGTCTTTCTGTTCATGTCAGTGGCTTCTTCCGTGCCCTGCTCTGCTTCGGCGCGGCCCGCCACGAGCCCGACCGGCGCGTGACCGCCTCTTTCACCCTTGCGCCCGCTGGCTCAACCAGTTCATGTCAGCGTTTGTTCCCCTGTGCACGACTGGCCTCTTATGGCAGAATGGCGACCCTTCTCCCGAGCAGCGGCGGCGCTGCGCGGGCTCTTCCCGACCATCCGCGGCCTCGCGTCTGCCGCGCGCCGCGCCTCTGCTCCCCCCGTGGGGCGGAAGCCGCCGGCTGGCTTCTGCGGGTCCCCGGGAGTATATGTGTATTCTTGGGCTCCGTGGCTTCGCCGTATGACACCGGTGAAGGGCAGCAGCCTGGAGCTGGCTGGGGACCTGGAGCCGGCTGGCTTCTGCTGGCCCCAAGGAGTGCAGTCAACATCGATAGTGTAGATGGGAGACGTTCCCAGGTTTCCGCTGCATCCTTTCTCTTCGGCCCATTCTTGGCCACTTTCGTTGGCCGCGCCCCGTTCGAAAAGTGCGGGCACGGCCTTGCAAGGCCCTTACATCCTTCTCATGCATCCTTCGTATCCGTTTGACTGTATACCACTGGACGCCGTGGCCTCGTTATGTAGCGTCGAGGACGAGCAAGCCTGGAGCCGGCTGAGGAGCCGAGGTGGCCCTGCACAGGTGCCCGCCAGCAGAGCGTGGGGAGACTTCTAGGAGGGCCCCCCTCGTCGCTGCGGCTGGGCGCGGCTCGAAAAGCTGTCCCTGGTTTCGTCCCCGGGAGGGGTGCGGGGAACGGTTTTGAGCGGATCGGCCCCCTCCCCCCCTTTTGACAGGTTTTCTCGGGCCCCAAAGCGTAGACCCTCTGGCCCCTTCCCACGGGGAAGAGCAGGCTGCACACGCAAGAGCTGTCGGAGGCCCGCGCAGATCTCTTGGATCGGCGCTGGGCCTCCGACGGTTTACGCCTGCGCCGCCTGCTTCTGCTTCAGGGTGGGGCATACGCCCGCCACGCCACTGCCCGTTTTCCCCCCCGGTCGCACGTCTGCGCCCCGTCCGCCTTGGCCTCCCTGTCTATTTGGGTGAGCCTATGTGAGTTTCGGGCCGACTTTCGGTGGCGGCCACTGGCGGCCAGCACGAGTCACCGCCCGAGGTTCGACGACCATCGTGTGCGGCTGCTTGTCGGCGCGCTCTCGCGGAGAAACATCTTCTCGCACAATCATCCGGGCGCGCGAGTCGAAACACCAGGGAGTCGAACTCCTTTGGCGAACGAGTCCTGCGCATGTGCGAATGATGTTATGCAAGTGGCATGACATGCCGAATGAGCCCAGGACGAATAGCTGACAATGAAGCGCAGCATGATTCTGAGTTCATCGCACATGTTTGCTCGTATATGATGCGTTTGCCACGCTGGATTAGCACCGTACCAGACAGACTACCCATACTCCCACTCTGGTCGAGAACATGGCCTACCATATCTCATGGAGAAAAGATTCGCACAGCATGTGCGAGGCGGATTGTGTGTTGGGGGTTACGCTGAGCCCCAAGGGGGTGGTGCAAGGCAGTCGTGTGCGATGTCGCCTGCAGGGATGTTGACAGCTCTGGTTGGGCGAGGGGGTGTGGGTGCAAGTTTCTGTTATTGCATGTTTGCCCGAGGACATAGTATTGGAAACGCCTTTTATTGGGAGGGCCTCACAACCGGTGCCGTCGACCCTGAAGGGGGACGACGACGGAGGCGGCGGCGACGACGGCGCTGACGCTCTGGAGCCCTTCTTTTGGGGCTCTCTTGGGAACCTACTGGGCTCTGTTGGAGGGCCTCTTGGGGGACTCCTTGGGAAGCTCCGTGGCCACTTGGAGCCGCCTGGGAGACGCCCACTCCCTCAAGCAGCTACCGCCAGTGGTCGGGGCTCCTCCGTTCCCCTCTTCACGGTGCGACACCGATCGCCCAGGCAGAGGGCGGGCGCCGCCGCCGTCTTCGCCGTCCTGGTCGTCGTCGTCGTCGTCGTCGTCGTCGTCGTCGATCTTGACCTCGTGGTCGTCGCTGTCGCTGTCGCTGCCCTCGACGGCCGTTGCCGTCGTCGTCGTCGTCGTCGTCGCCGATGTTGCCCTCGTCGCCGTCATCCTTCTCCGAACCCCCAACCCAAGACCCAGACCCCCGACTTCATGAGTTTGCACACTGGTGACCCCCAGAGGTCTCGACCCATTCCCTGGCTTTGGTTGTTCTTCCTGAGTGGGCCCTGTGGGTCGGCGAGGGCCCTGCAGAGGCCAAAAACGGCCAAAAACCTCGGAAGGCCGAAAACGGCCTGGCGCGGAAGGCCGAAAGGGGATGTCCGAAACGTCGCGTTTTTTTCACTACGCGAGGTGATCTGGGGAAGTACTTCGTGTCGTCGTCGTCGTCGTCGTCGTCGTCGTCGTTGTATTCGTCGTCGTACTCGTCGTACTCGTACTCGTATTCGTACGCCTCGTCCTCGTCCTCGTCGTCCTCGTCGCCGTCGCCGTCGTCCACGTCGAGTCGCCCGCCCCCCCGGCCCGGCAAGGCGTACGTGGGGCAGTTCGGCCTCTCGCAGTCCCTGCAGGACGGCCCCGCGCCGCCGCGGGCGAGGGGCGGGGAGGGCCGGCGGGCCGGCCCGCCGAGAGCCCCTGCCAGGCTCGCGCGAGCCAGCGGCTTGGCATCGCTCGGACGTGTGCATCTCTTCTCGGCGAGAACCATCGAGGACCATCCTGGACCATCGAGCAAAAAAAAAACACGCACGAAACCTAAAAATGCACGGGAAATGGACGTCCGAGCGACGGCAAGGCGGGCGCAGGCGAGCGGGAGCAGGCGCAGGCGCCGGGCGCAAGCGAGCGGGCGGGGCAAGGTGTGTGTGTGTGTGCGCCGGGAGCAAAAGCTGGGCACGGGCCCTCCCGGACGGGGCAGCGCGCCCCGGTCTCCTGCGCCGGGATCTCGGCGCGGGGGGGGGCGCTCGCCTCATGCTCCCCCTCCCCGCCCCGCCCGCCCGTGCTCCCTCCTCTCCTCCTCCCCCCCCCCCTCGTCGGCGCCGCCATGACGTCGGCGGCCGGCCAGGTCTCTGGCCGGCAGCGCCCCTCGGGCTGGACGCTTCTCGCGGTCTGCTTCCTCGGCGCCTCTCTTTGCCTACTACCCGGGCGCATGCCCGCGTCGTCACAAAAATCAGGGCGGGAGGTTCTTGGCCATGTTCGGCCCTCTGGGGCCCTCGCGGGGCCTCGGGACAAGCTGGCCCTGGGGAAAAGGCCGGGACTCCCTGGGGCCCCCCCGTCGAAAAAGTCAGAGCATCGCATGTCTGGGCTGAGATCCTGGTGTTGTATTTTTTTCACGACGGCGGGCGTTTTCGCCCGGTTCCGGGCCCCAGGACGCTGGCTGATTGATCTGGCACGAGAAATGACGCAGAAAGGTTGGGTCCGAGGCTCCTGTGGCGACTTGTTGCGATGTTGCATTTTGTTTTGCGGTGTCAGGTTTGAGGGGAGCAGCCTGGGCCCTCGGTTGCGGGGTGCAACAAGGAACCCAGGCCCCCTCGCCGTGAAAAAATTGCGGCGGGCGGTTCTCGGACATTCTCGGCATCTGGAGGTCCTCGCCAGGCTTTGGGCCGTCAGCGATACGATCCGGGATGAGAAACCGGCTCCGGGTAATGCGTCGGGTGTTCGGGAACGGGGGTGGCGCTCGAGGATGCCAGGAAGGTGGCCCCAAAGGAGGGGGCCCTGAATTGGCCCTGTGGGGCGAAAGGCGTGTGGGGGGCCTGGCGATGTGGGCGAAGCGCGCACGTGCGGGCACCAGTTGGGCCATGGCTGGAGCCCACTGCCAATGGGCCATGAGGCGCGTGAGAGGTGTGCCGAAGTGGGCGGGCCGCGCTCGTGCGGCTGGGCC